TAAAAAAAAAAAAAAAAGGCAAAAAAAAAAAAAAAGCACTACTTTCAGCAAGTAATTCCTGTACCTCTGCCCTAAACATGCTGGATTTGGGGCCTCAATTCCCTCTTTCTTGGTGGGAGACAGAGACAGGCTGGGGCAATGGAAATACCTGTACCTCGGATTTTCCCTTTTCACAAAAAAATCTCATTGCAGGGCATATGAACTCCTGGTACAGAGAAATCCTGCCTCCAAAGTGGTGCCGGGGTACCTCTGGGAATAGGGAGCATCTGATTTTAGGGGACAGGGTTAAGTTTGCTTTCCTGCCTTTCAGGTTGACCTTTACTGGGTTATGTCATTGGTGAGTGGCTTGTTCAGTCCCCTCAAGGCTAGGATTGACCGAGAGGTTTAGAAATCAGGGAGGACAGCTTTCTGCATCAATGATGAACTCATCTGGAGTTGCAATTATTCGTATCAGGGTGACTGGCTCTGGCCAGGTTAGGATCTTACCCACCATGTGCTCACAAGATGATGCCTTTGCCTGGAAGGTTTATAATCCACTTTTCAAAATCTTCTGACATACAGGGAATCGGGCTGTCAAGTAAGAGCACTGTGGTGTTATAGAGACTACCCAGTATGTTCCCTCGTGGGGCACGGTGTTACGGAGAGCACTTCTGCTGACGTCCGTGCTGCTGATTCAGAGCAGCCAGAGATGTTCATCCACCTGTAACGCTCTTCAAGAGGATGCTCTTCACTTCTAGTGGTGTTGTGATGGAGATGATGTTACAGCTCCTAAGTGCGTATTTGGATGGTTGGGCCTTAAACAACAATCAGTTCTTAGAACAGTTTTAAAATGCTATTTCCTCTATACAGCTGCAAAGCTGCATTTTTCAACACAGATCTGGCGAGACTTTTGTAAGTTTATTTAACTTGTGTTTGGGGTCAAGTTCCTAGGAAGGGAATGGATGTGTCTCATACCTGAGCAGCTGCACTAAACCCCATTGGGTGATTCGGGTTAAGTTTTGCCCTTCTTGAAGACTGAAACTTGGTCTGCAAGTTTTGTAGGGCCTAGAGATGAGACAGGAGTGGGATCGTCTCAGCTGGGGTTAAATTCAGTGTCAACTGTCTGAGTGCTGAGGATGGGCCAGTTATAGTGCACTGAATTTTAAAACTTTCTGAAAATCTCAGGTTTTAGCTCACTGCAACCTGTATTACAGCACTGCCCCTTAGATGCGTGAACATCCCTACTATCTTTACATGGCCAAATTTGACTAGTCTGGCAAACAGAAATCCCATCCCCAAAAGGCTGTTTTCCTTTTTGGTTTTCATCTATCACCTCTGCATGGAGTCTCAGCTCTGTCTAAATTTAATTTTCCCCAGTCCAGCTGATGCAGGCTCTTGTGTACTGACTTGCCACCTCATCTGTTTGGCTCTGTGTTTCCTTTGAGTGCTTCCAGGAGTGGAGGCTGGGCCTCCCCTGACATTTAGGTGAAAGCTGCTCCTGCATCTCAAACCATCTGCATTTCCGGAGGGCTGGTGTCCAAACAAGGCTTGACCCTGGCTCTGCAGTACCTAAAATACACTGAAAAGAGGCAAGAACCATTTTTAATCTTGTTATCAAACAGCAGAGCCTGTGCCCTCTCTGGGTTATGCTTCTGCTGTGCAGGAGTTTGGTGTACAAGTAAGACATGAGAAGACCTTGGTCATGTTGGCCCACCTCTACAGAGGTGGAATATTGTTGTAGCCATGCTTCTTTGCCTTCATTAGCCACAATTCATGCAATGTGGGCTCTTCACTGTGTATATGGGTAACAGCAGTGTCGCTCTACCTGTGTCAAAGTGTTTTACATTCATTACTTAGTGGAGTTAGTCCAAGCTGCCCTTTCCAGTCTCCCTTAGCCTGAGAGATGATTCACAGCTCAGTACGCTTTGCTTTTCTATTCCTTGTGTGTCTGCATCCCTGGCAAGACAGCTTTATAGGGGTGTGGGTTCACCTGCTGCTTGATGTGGTGTCACCTCTTGAGCTGGGACTTGTGTTACACCTACCTAGCAACCCTTCCTGACAGGCTGGTGGTCTTGCATTGCCCTTTGGTTTCTCTAGCTCAGCTGTCTCTTGTTTGAAGATTGCTCACTTTATTTCTGTGCATTTGCTGCAGTCTCCGAAAGCAAATATTGAGCATTACCCTGTAGAGAGAGGATCACCTTGCAGTGTTATCCTGAGGAAACCTGAGCTACTCAAGAGGTGAAACCCGAGATGCTGAAAGCAACCCAAGGAGATGGAGCAAGTCTGGATGGGATCTTCAGATCTTTGTGGCTGCTGCTCCCTGCTGACAGCGCTGGGCATCGTGCATATAGTGCAAAAAGCTCTTTCAGTCCGACCTTGGGTGACCCCAACGCTGGGCTGTGCAAGAGGGTGTGATGGGGGGCGTTGTCTCTGTCTTTGCCTAGACAAGTCAGACTTTGATTGGGAGCTTTTTTTTTTAGGAAGATAACGTGCCTCTGTGTTGCCTTTGAACAAACATAAAAATGAGCTAGTATTGATGCATGGAGTGAGCCAGAGGAGTTCAGTAAAGAGATACCGGAGCCGTGTGAAGGTTGTTGCTGACATTTGGTCTGATTATTTTACCACAAAGCTTTGCTGACCTGAGCATGTAAGGTGATCAGCTTATGAGAAAACAAATGATTCTTAGAGACACCTTAAACTCTTGAGCAGGTTTTTATATTTATTGTGCATCTTGCTCGCATGGTGCATTTCGGCCTTTGTTTCTTACTCAGGGTTTGGAAAGTGAAATAATTAATTCTTGAAAATCATGGGTTGTGAATGCTCATTGTGTCTTGATGGAAAGTTACTGGTCCCGGTGGTGGCAGAGATGAGTGGAAAAACAGGATGTTGCAGGTACTCTAAACCTGAAAGCAAAATTGGAAAAAAGAAAATGATTTTTAAAAATAGCTTTGTTTTGATGTGCTCATGTTTCAGTGCAGAAAACCTGCCAAGTTTTTTCTCCAGTTGTCTATTTTTTGTTCAGATCTGCCTGTTGTTGGCTTATGGTCACTTTGGGGCTAGCTATACTGTACAGGTTTTGTAGAAAAACAAAGTATTTGTCTTCACACTATATTGTTTTTAAACAAACCCAAATTCTGTTAGCATCTTCTGAATTGAACAGGAAGGAAATTGAAATTAAATTTGAGTCCTTATCTGTGATAACTATTGGGTTAAATTTTCTAGGTTTAAGGCTATTTATTTTAAGTTGTTAAAACTAAATAGAACATTTGTTATGAGAGAAATCAACTGATTTTTTTGACTAATAGATGACTTTATTGAATGAGTAGATGTAGAAATAAAATGTATGCTGCAGAACCTGTGGTCTAGTTCTTCCCTATGCTATGGATAATCTGCCTGGATTTGTGCAAAGCATTTGACACTGTCACACAGAACATCCTTGTCGCTGAATTGGAGACACATGGATCTGATGGGTGGACCCCTCTGTGCATGAGGAATTGGCTGGATGGTTGCACTCAGAGTTGTGTCAAAGGCTCGATGTCCAAGTGGAGAGCAGTGACGAGTGCTGCTCCTCAGGGTTCGGGGTTGTGCCCGGTGCTGTTTAACATCTTTGTTAGTGACAGGGACAGTGGGATTGAGTACACCCTGAGCAAGTTCCCTGATGACACCGAGCTGTGCGGTGACACTGGAGGGCAGGGATGCCATCCTGAGGGACCTGGGCAGGCTGGAGAGGTGGGACTGTGTGAACCTCATGGAGTTCAACAAGGCCAAGGGCAAGGTCCTGCCCGTGGGTCGGGGCAATCCCCAGCACAAATCCAGGCTGGGCGAGGAGGGGATGCAGAGCAGCCCCAAGGAGAGGGACTTGGGGGGGTTGGTGAGGGGAAAACTGCCTGTGAGCCAGCACCGTGTGCTCACAGCCCAGAACCCACCCGTGCCCTGGGCTGCAGCCAGAGCAGGGGGGGCAGCAGGGCCAGGGAGGGGATTCTCCCCCTCTGCTCCGCTCTGGGGAGACCCCCCTGCAGTGCTGGGGCCAGCTCGGGGGCCCCCGACAGCAGAAGGACACGGAGCTGCTCGAGCGGGACCAGAGGAGGCCACGAAGATGCTCAGGGGGCTGGAGCAGCTCCCCTGGGAGGCCGGGCTGAGAGAGTTGGGGGGGTTCAGCCTGGAGAAGAGAAGGCTCCGGGGAGACCTTTGAGCGGCCTCGCAGGGCTTAAAGGGGGGACAGGAAAGGTGGGGAGGGACTCTGGGTCAGGGGGTGGGGATAGGACGAGGGGTGACGGTTTTAAACTGAGAGAAGGGAGATTTGGGTGAGATCTAAGGCAGAAATTGTTCCCTGTGCGGGGGGTGAGGTGCTGGCCCAGGGTGCCCAGAGCAGCTGTGGCTGCCCCCTCCCTGGAAGGGTTCAAGGGCAGGCTGGACGGGGCTGGGAGCCCCCTGGTCTGGGGGAAGGGGGCCCTGCCCGGGGCAGGGAATGGGACTGGGTGATCTTTAAGGTCCCTTCCAACACAAACCATTCAGTCATAATACCCTAGTTTATGGACTTCCTTCTATAATGGCATTGTAATCACTGCTTGTATAGAAAAATAGGAGAATGAAGAGTCATTAAGGTTGTTTAGTTAGCTCTAGATATAACCTGAGAATAGAGAATTGGCATCATTTTAGCAATCACTTTCTGGGGGTCTTCAATAGGCCACTGTTTGTGGGACCATGCTTTTGAGCAAATCTGTCATATGCTAATTTTGCTCCAGACCTTGAGCTATCTGGGTTTCTGGCATTGCAGGCCACAATAATTCTGCACTGAACCATATCCTGTCTGTGAAAGACCATCAGTGGAGGCAAATGGATTGGTCATCTTCAGACTTCAGTAAGATACAATTCTGTCAGTGGAACGCTGGTACACCAGTGTAACTGGATAACCTGTAATCTGCAAAACAAGATTGTTTTGGCTCCCTAAACCTTGCTGTCACTATTTCATAAACATTTCCTCTTACTACTAATCTCTCATTGCTCTTTTTTCCCCATAGTTGGCACCAGAAAACACTCTGATGTCCTTCCAGAAGGCAGTGGAGCAGAAGATGTATGGAGTCCAAGCTGATGTTGTACTGAGGTAAACTGGTGTGCTGGTTGGTCTGAGACTTTCTCTGTGGATTGCCTAAACCATGCTGATGGGTCTTTCCTATTTGATTTGTGACTGGGTGTTACTGCTCCTGCCCATTGAAAAGGGCGCTTGTGGTGAACATATCTGATAACTTCTAGCTGTCTTCCTTTGTAATGCACAGATGCTACTAATTGTTCCACTGAGATGATTATTAAAGGTAAAATTGTCCAGGTAGGGGAACCTGGATAAATTTGTCATTAAATAATCTTCATTTGTAAGAAGAGTGTAGTTTATCCTAGAGCTTGCTTTATTGCAGTGAAACACAGTGCCTGCTTTCTAACCTGGCTTGAAGTCTGCTGGCCTTGGGAAGAGACAGAGCTGCTTAAATGACTCTTGCTGGGATACTCCAGGTGCAGAGAGAACACAGATACCAAACTGACTTTGCGCTGCAAGTCTTCAGGAGGGCTTTTATCCATCTTGCAAAACTGCCACAGGAATTTAGCAGCCCAGGAATAAGCCCCTTTCTCCTCCTCCCCTTCCTCATACCACTAGTGCTGGGTGAAGGAGGAACCCAATGATGCTGCTGACTGTCAAAAAGTCATTCTTTGCAGCAAATGTTGGACTGAATTGAAGCCAATTTAAAGAGGATTTAGAGAGAGTAATTTCAAGAACCATGTGTTGTTCCAGAAGTGTGATCATTCTTTAATATTTTTTTCCTTTTCTGAACTGTGTTTTTCGCATGAGTTTATATAGACGTGCAAGAGGGCAGAAGTAGCACAAAGAGAGGAGTAATGCCTTGTCTTGGTGATACTTCAGTTTGTCTTAATTTGTTATAAATACAAGAAAGACTCAAAGCTGATATTTTATTTTTCCTTGACCACTTTGGAGGTTGGTGTAGATGGAAATATATTTTTGCCTGGTGGAAGATGTGCTTCTGAAGTTTCATTGTTAGGGTGCTTTTTTTTTTTTTTCCCCCTCTGTATAATTGTTTGAGACCAAATGATACAAAAACTAAAGGATTTTCTTCCCACTGGGATATAGAAGGTTATTGTGGAAGGATAAAATATGAGTTGGGATGGATGTGATACAATTCTTTTTATTTCCAAAATGAGTTCACTGACTATTGTGAAAAAACAATTACTTGACTGTCCAGATTCACAGACAAGCACGTGGTTCACGTGGCTGTAGCAGTTGCTTCTATTAGCACTGGCCAAGGAGAAAGGTGGACTTCTGGGAGGGGGGAGAGCTGGAAAAGTTCCAAGAGCTTTCCATATTGCCACCCATCAGCCATCCCAGAGGAGTACTCCAAGCATCCATAGCTTAAACAATGCCCTTGATGGCCCAATTATCTCAGGCCCTCTCTAGGAGACCCAAGTGTCTTTATAAAAATAGGATTCCAGTGACCTTCAGATCAGAAAGTGAGCTTTCAGTACAGCTGGCAGCAACTTTGGGAAGGGTTTGCAGCACAAAACCCCTTGTTGTCCTTATCCCTTTTGAAAGATGCTCTTTGTGCCTGTGTCTGGCTGGGTCCACTCCGCCTGGGATGTCCCCAGGACATCTCTCCTGGGATGTTTCCATGTTCTTCTAGGCACATATCAGCAGTGGGTGGGCTGCTTGGACATACTCAGACCCATCGCATCCATTACACACCCCAAACTGGGTGGCCCTGGTTATAAAGCCAGTGCTGGTTATAAAACCCACTTTGCTTCCAGCAGCAGGAGCATAGTATCACTGTGTGTTCCTCTCGCCTTCTACCTCCTCCCACATCTCTTATAAAGCTCTGATTTCTGTCTCTGAATTATTTTTTCAAACCCGTGCCTGCTAATACGTTGTGGTCAGCCTTGGGTAGTGCTGAGTGACTCCATAAGGGGAAGGAATAGAAAGGAGAGAGTGAATGTTAAGTACCTCATAGGATTTCCACACTGTGGTTAAGGCTTAGCAGTATCTGACATGTTAAGACTTGAGCTCCTATCTCCCTTAAACACTCGATAGGTTTAATTCTGCAGTTGCTTAGCATCTTTTTTTTTTTTTTTTTTTTTCCCCTCTAAACTGTGTTTATTAAAACCCCTTCTGACAGCAGCATCATGGTGTGCTGCTGAGCATGGTATTGCTGTGTCAGTGTGTTGCTTTGGGTTAGGGGGCAAAGTAGTTGGCACAGTGCATGCTAGAAATTGCAAATCAAGATGCCAGTGACCTTTGTGATAAAGAACTTGTGCAGACAATAGTAAAGCTGAGGCAGCATTGCTCCATCATCTAAAATTGTTTTTTGTTTTCCCTCTTGCTCTGGGAGCAAGTGCTCAGGGTTGTCTCCTAATTCAAATGGGTTTTGTATTTTAACCCCATCTCCTTTTCAGACCTTATCTGGGTCTCCTATTATGAAGATGGGCTCCTTACTTTGGAAAATGTTATTGTAATCAGTCTGGCTGCCCAGGGTTTATCTTGATTTCTGAGTGCAGACAACAGTCCCCCTGTCCTTGATAAAAACAGTCACTGCCCTGTATCGTGCTACCACTGATCCAGTCACAGAAAATTGGGTGGAAGAAAGTTTAAAGAGCTTTTTAAGTTTCCCAGAACTGTTCTGTCATATCTAGGTGACTTAAAAGCCACAGGGCATGCATTTGGCTATTTAGTTTCTTCTGAGAGGCAGGTTTTAAGATGCATGATCTTAACAACTCATGTGAGCATGGCTGTTTTCTGAAACCAATTTTCAATTGGAAAAGGCAATTTCAGAGCAATTTTGGTAGTTTGGAGCCCCTGTAGCTTACTGAAAGCCCCCGAACATTAAGTTCCCATAAAGTCTGAGAGCCTTTGAAAATCTTACTCATCATCTCCTGTTAACAATTTGAGAATAGTTTGTGTGTCTGCATATACAGGGTATGGAAAGCCTCTGACATTATTGGGAGCTACAGACACTGCAGAAAGCTCTGGTTAGTGTGAGCGTTCAGGGTGGCTGTTCTTGTCCAAGCTACCTAAGTTTGGCACTTGACATTTTTGAGGAGGAGGGGTGGATAGGGTTATGTCAGCATTTGAATGATTGCAAACATCTATCAGGTATCTAAAAAGCTTTTTCCTCTGAGTGCGTCTCATTTCAACTGATCTTAGGGATGTTGGGTATGTGTTAAGCTGGTCAAGATCTTCACAATTACTTTGATGCGAAGCTGTGAGAATCTGGAGTGGGAACAGGTATTTTTCTAGTGCTGTGTATGTGGTTGTGCCCCTTCACCTGTAACAGGGCCTCTGACTGTCTTTGCAGCTATGATGGAGTGCCGTTTCTGATGCATGACAAGACACTCAGGAGAACAACAAACGTGGAGGAAGTGTTTCCAGAGCGAGCCTATGAGCACTGCTCCATGTTCAACTGGACCGACCTGGAAAAGCTCAGTGCTGGAGAGTGGTTCCTCAAGGTGTGTATGGCCATGGAGAGGGTGTCCTGGATCCATGGCCATGAGATCAAAGCTCATGCCTAAACACTCTTTGAGGGGGAGAGGTGTAGATCCATCTCCTTGGTGGAGTGGTCTGAAGTGTAGCTAGACCAAGTGTCCATGAACCACGTTTAGTTCTGCCCTCTACTAAAGTTAAAGTTGGTCTAAAGGACACGTTGCCTTTATGTGCCTCTTCTACCACCTGGAAGAAAGGGCCTTAATGTCTGGTTGACACCACAAAGAACTTCAAGACTCCAGGAGGGGGAATGTGGTGATAAAGAGAATAGAAAAGGCAGCATGTCATATGCTGCTCATTTTTCTTTAATTTACTTTTGGATACAGTTTTCTTTACAATGGAAAAAACAAGAAATTCAGCTTTGTCCGGGAAGGGAGGAGGAATTGCTGTGGGATAAGCTTGACCCATCCTTTGGTATGCAGCCAGGTTGCAGGTGGGATTTCTTTTGCCAAGCTGCTCTCTGGCCAGTGGCCTTAACCTTCTTGGAGAGCAATAGTTGTGGTCTGGAAGGAAGGCTTGCAATGCTCTGGCACACTCATGTAAGCTTGAACATGGCTTCCTGAGGTATCTCTGCAGCGATGTGAGCTCAGGTACCTGTTTTTCATATGCCTGCTTGAGATTCCCTGGGTGCTTGCTTGGTGGAAGCCTGAAACCACCATAGCTTCACTGTCATGCTGGTCAGGAGCTGTGATGGGGATGTATTACAGCTGTACAGAAGCTGGCTTGGTTTGCAGATGTCAGTGTGGGAGAGGGAGTGTAGGGAAACTGCTGCCTGCCAGATGAGAAGGGCCAAGACAGCATCTGGAAGGCTGCTTTTTGGGATGTACTTCGAAGCTGTCATTCCTGTATATCCTTAAGTCAGGAGCCCATAGCTCCTCCCTGATAGTTCTTAGATAATAACCAGTCCTTTTTATTTCTGGATCCCGAAGAATTCCTGGTGATCACGTACATTGTGTGACAAAGTACATTAGCTTACAACCTTGGAAAATCATATTACTGCCCTATAGCTCAGCTCTTCCTCTGAAAATGGGGTGACCTGTCCAGCACACCTCTCTTTCGATAAGGATCTATGACCTCCCTTTGGATAGGGAGTCTGAGGCACAGAGAAACACTTCAGCAAGTTGCAAGGTGGTCATGAAGAGCAGCTGTCAGCATGCCTCACTGCTGCCAAGGTGGGATAGAAAAGGGTCTTCACCTGGATCGGGGGAGTCTGGACTTTGTGGCAGTAATACTGGGATGTGCTTTGCTTTCAGAATGACCCTTTCTGGACGGTCGGGTCCCTCTCGAGGTCTGACTACTTGGAAGCTGCCAACCAGTCAGTCTGCAAGCTGGCTGATATGCTAGAGGTGATCAAGAACAACACAACGCTCATCCTGAACTTCCAGGACCTGCCATCCACTCATCCCTACTACAGCACTTACATCAACATCACACTGGAAACCATCCTGGCATCGGGAATTCGGCAACAGGCTGTGAGTTCTGTGGGGTTGGTGACCTTTCCAAAATTGCCATCCTTAGGGTTTCCCTGTGTCCTTGAGTGTCTCCATTTGGGCATCAATTCTTGAGTGATCTATTTTGGACACTTGATTTGAAATGCCACCATGTGCCAGGAAGTCATACTGGGGAGGACTGTGCCTCCAGGCTGGTGGTCCCAGAGGCTGGGGTTAGCATGGACCTCTGAAAGCCACCCAAGGTGACTGCTGATGCAGCATTGTGCCCTGGCAATCAGGAGGCTTGATAGCATTTTGGACTGTACTAATGGTAGTAGAGCTAGTAGATAGAGAGAAGTGTTTATTCCTGTTACTCAGCAATTGTGTTCAGTGTGGGGCTCACCAGTACAGGTGATGAACTGAAGCAAGTCATGCAGAGGCCACCAAACTGGTCAGGGGGGCTGAACATAGAAAGAGGGGTTGAAGGAACTGAGTCTCTTCATCCTGGTAAAGAAAAGACTTTGGAGAGCTGCTATTAGTTCTCCTCAGTACTGGCAAGGAGGTTGTTGAGAAGTTGGACAGAAGCTCTTCACTGAGTTGCACGTCAAGAGGATGGGAGGAAGTGGTCATAAATTGAAACAGGAGAGATTCCCACTGGATAGAAGGAAACTAATTTTCCCTGTAAGGGCAGGCAAATGTTAAGAGGGGCCCAGAAAACTGAGGGATCTCCATCCTTGGAGATTTTCAAGACCCAACTAGACAAAGCCCTGAGCAAGCTGGTCTGAAATCAATGCTGGCACTGGTTTGTGTTGGAGTAGAGATCTCCTGGGGCCTCTTCCCACTAAGTGCTTTGATAAGAACCTCAGACATGAGAGAAGGGGCTGAGACCTGGATGCCAGTTGCGAGCAGCAGAAAGGCCTTTCTCTTCCTCTCACTCTTTAGTTTTAAATAATCCTTCTCCCTGGGCTGAGCTACTGTTTCTGCCTAGAGTCAGCTTCTCCTTGAAGAAATGGATGTCCTGGAGCTGAGGGGTTTTCAGCAAAAGGAGGTCTATGTACCTGCAGAGATCTCTTCCAGACCTTAATTTCTGCCCTAGTATTCTCCTTGCTGGGTTATGCCAAACGCTTTGATTTCCAGCTCTGAGTGGTTGCAATCGGAGTCCAGCCAGCCTTTTTAGCTGTGTCCTCTCTGACCACCAGGTATAAATCTTCACCCAGCCCATCAGGAGCTCCCTCTGATGCAGTTATCTCTTCTGGAGGGAAAACACCACTTCCCATGTGTCAGAACGGCACAAGGGTGTCCCTTGGAAAATTTTTCTCCTTGACCTGTCTTGGGAAGGAAATGTGGTTCTTTTGCTTGCTCTCCCTTGAATATGGACTGGTTGAAAATAGCATGGTGAGCTGGCAAGTGGAATGACTACATCTCTCGCAGCTCAGATATTTCATCTGTACCAATTAGGTGCATCTGCATGCACAGACAAGTTCAGCACTGACTTGTGCAGTGACGGGCCCAGGAGGGAACGGAGCTATTTTTAACTTCCATTTGTGCTTCTAATGACTGACACTGCCACCCAGTTTCTAATTAACTGTGTGGCTGCAGTGACAATGTTATCCACAAGTCTCTGCCAGATTGGCTAGACCCAAGAGAGGACCACACTGTCATCTCCTTGGATGTTGGGATGGAAAGCAGGAGAAAAATAGTCAGGACATAGATGTGGGGTTGTGAAGTGATATTTCTCACACAGTTTTTAAGGTTCCCTATTGAAAATGCATATGGCTGTATCTGTGTTCCTCTCGTGCTTTGGTAGGTGGGTGTCACTGACTTATTAAACATGGGTGAAAGCAATACAATGCCCAGTTGTACTGTTGGGATCATCTGTATGGGCCCTCCCTCTGCATGGCACAAGCCATAAAATTGACCAGCTTGGTTCCTGCACCCACTTTGCATCTAGCAGCTGAGCATGTTAACAGTAATTAATTTGACATGGTTTCAAAGCATGGCATGAACTTAGAGAAATCCTTGCCCTGGGTTGGAGTAGATGTAGCCCTAGTAAAAGAGGGTGAATAAAACAAAAGCTAGTCTTAGCCATCGGATCATGAGAGGCTTCTCCTGTGCATCCTGTCCACAATGTCAATTTTAGCCTCGTGTCCTTAGTTCTCTCTGTGCCCTGAACTGGGCAGAGAGGACTGGTTTTCAATGATACATTGTGTGTATTCTCATGAGCCCTTGGCCTGATCCCCTGTGTATCTCAACCCTTTTCACCTCTAAGATTTTGTGTGTTACGGTCCTCTGGGCTCGAGGATAATCCTGAAATGCATCTCATTAAAGATATGGGAGGCTCTAAGTGTCTCCTAGACAATTCGTGACAAACAAGGCAGTCTCTCGTGTAAATTTGCTTCTGGCTTGCTGTAAACTGTCTGTCTGCAAAGCTGCCCACTGTTACCAGCTTTGTGAACCATCTTTGCCATAACCATGCCCTGTGTGTCTCCCTCCGCAGGTGATGTGGCTGCCGGACACGGAGAGGCAGCTGGTCAGACAGATTGCGCCAGGTTTCCAGCAGACTTCTGGCCTCAAGCTGGACTCAGAGCGCATGAAGGAGAAGGGCATCGTGAGGCTCAACCTGCGGTACACCAAGGTCACGAACGAGGATGTCAGGTACGGTCCTCCATTCGGGCACTGTGGTAGCCCATGTGCTCCACAGCCAGTGTTCGCAGCTCTCTGCGTCCTTGTGCCCTGCGTTCATCCCTGGCCCAGCAGCATCTTTTCTGATCATCTGGAGGTATCTTTTCAGATGGACTTGCTCCTGAAAGCTTGAGCTGTGCAAGTTTGTCCCTACCCAGAATCCGGGCTGCTCCCTCGAGTGCACAGCTGACTGATAACTCTGCACTCTAATTCAATATACGATGATCTTTTTTGAAATACAAATATATGAATTGTCTGATTCTTATTACATTATCAGCTCTGGGGAAAAGTGAAGGATTTTCACAATGAGTACCTCCAAGTATTGTTTCATCCTCAATAGCAGCTGCCCTTTGCTTTTGTTCATCTGCTCCAGAGTTGCTACCACAGAATTTTGATTAGTCCAAAGTCTGGATATGCTTTCAGAAATTTCTCTTTGCAAAGAATTCACCCATTACTGCCCTTTGTCATCTATTTAGGCTGGTCAGATCTCTTTAATGAGATTGTCACAGTGTGGTGTTCCTCTTCTTCTGCTTGAGCCTGTATTTGAACCGTGCAGTGTTAGCTCCCAGCTTTGACCTCTTCTCAGAAAGGGCAAATTGTCTCTACTTGAGCTTTTCTATTTTTTAGAGTTCAGATTTTTTCCAGAAAGAAATACTAGAAAATGAAACAGATTTGCAGAAGAAAAGCATCTTCAAAGGATTTGTCTTGCTGTACATTCAGGCTGGGAGTAGGGAAGAGCTGAGCCTGCAGCTATTTGAGAGTGTGGCCCTATTTAGTGTAATCCAGTGGCATCTTTCCGTGGCTGCCAGCAATCGGTCTAGTTGCTCGCCCTTAAAACCAAGTCTGTGCTTTACCTGCAGGATAATTCCTGCCTAGTTTTTCCCTACCTATTTGATCTATCTCATGGAGAGGACCATATGCCAACTCTCTCACCTATCCCAGCTCATCAGCTGCAATCTCATCAATCCTACCCCAGCTGTCTCCAAAACCAGATCTGCCACCTCAGTGTTTCTTGAACCCTGCAACTGGGCCTTGTGGTGCCCAGTCAAATGTTGCTGCAGTCCTGCAGCATGAGCCAGAGCAGGCTCAACAAGTCCTGGTATAACAGTTTCCTTATCCTTCCCCCCCAATCAGCATCTGGATGTAACACTGCTGTGACTGCCTCTGCCTTTGAGAATCCTGTAGCCTTTGGAGCAGCTTGATCATGTTGTGAGCTCTGAGATGTCCACATCCTGTATGATAGCCTTCCACCTGAAAGTGCTTGGCTGATACTGAATTGCAAGGGTTAATTTCTGTGCTGCTCATGCAAGGGAGATTAGTGATGCTTCTGCTTTGTAGATATAAAGAAATGGAGCAGTTTATGCAAATTGTATGGGAACAGGGAGTTCACTATCAGTGCTTGGTTTGCTGCCGACAGCTCCTGTACCCCAGCTTGCAGTTTTAGCTTTTTGGAAAATGGCCTCAGGAGACTAGAAGCTGTAACTCTGCGGCTGTCCCTGAAACAAGGGCACGGGAGTTGTAGGAATTGCTGTTGGAGATGCAGTCTATCAGTTTTTAATTAAGCAAATTGCCTATGAAGTGTTACAAGCACTTGAGCCAGATGTTAATTTTACATCAACGTGATAAGGTGGTTTTTAGAAAAACATGACAAGCCCATCATTAGTGAGGGACGTATCTGAGATGGGCTGTGGTCTGGGTCAGATAGATATTTTATTTTGTAGTATTTTGTAGTATTTTGTAGTATTTTGTAGTATTTTGTAGGATTTTGTAGTATTTTGTAGTATTTTGTAGTATTTTGTAGTATTTTGTAGTATTTTGTAGTATTTTGTAGTATTTTGTAGTATTTTGTAGTATTTTGTAGTATTTTGTAGTATTTTGTAGTATTTTGTAGTATTTTGTAGTATTTTGTAGTATTTTGTAGTATTTTGTAGTATTTTGTAGTATTTTGTAGTATTTTTTTAATTTTATTTTTTTTAATTTTATTTTTTATTTTATTTTATTTTTTACCTATTGAGTGCTTTCAAGTTCAAACCATCTGATTGCAATGCCCTTGGGTTGCTTATGAAGTGACTGTGTCCTGTTAAAAAAACCCTGTTTCATGCAACTCAGACACGATAAATTTATCTGTGATTACAGTAGTGGCTGATGGAAAGAGCTCTGCTCTTGGAGACGAGGGTCTGATGTTTCCTGGGGGACTGGCATCTCTCTCTGTCTGTCTCCCGGCAGGGACTATGCCATGGCGAACCTGAGTGTGAATCTCTACACTGTGAACGAGCCCTGGCTTTACTCCATCCTGTGGTGCGCCGGCGTCCAGTCGGTCACCTCTGACAGCTCCCACGTCCTTCTCAAGGTGCCTTTTCCCATCTGGCTAATGGTAAGCACAACACCTGGGAAGGTGCTGTGAACCCCTGGAAGCAGGGGGATGCAGTGGAGGGGTGTTGACTGCTGAAACCACATGTCTAGTGGGTTTCTTCAGGAAGGTTTGGTTGGGTCCAATGTGCTGTTGGGCTTAGAGGGTTTTCCCCCTCTGTGTGTCTGCGCCCTGAGATGGTAATGGATCAACGCTCTTCTTGCACAGTCCCTTCCTTCGGATGGCCTCATCTCTTCCCATGCAGGATTTGGGAGCTTTGGACGTTGCATCACATGTCCCATTTAAACCATATGATTTTTCCATTTTTCTCCAATGGAAAACCCACCTTTGTAGACCTGCTGAGATGATGTTGAGAAGCTGCTACACAGGTGAACCAGCAAACCTGGCTTCTGTGTTTCAGCCAGGCTGCAAAACTAGCTTTTTATCTGTTTTGAATACCAGATGAGGACAAGTTTTTACCTCTGGCTACCCCATTGCTGGACAAGGAACAACCAGAGACCAAAGGTACCTCCCTTGCCCATCAAGTAGCCAGTAAACTCTCTGAAAACTCCCCTTGTGCTTTGAGTCTCAACCAAACAGAAATATTCATGTTAGACTTGGGAGAAAATGATGAAATAGCTGCACCAAAGTATTCTCAAAACAAGAGCTCAGCTGCAGCAGTGTAAGTACACGGGATGGAGGGGCTATTTTCTGATGACAGATTCTGATGAGGGTAGGACAGGAGGCAGCTATTTTACCTGCTAGTCTGGCAGATCTGCTTGGAAAAGGGAAAAATAAGATGAGCACAAGGAGAATTTAATGTTAATGAGTTATCTGCATCATTAGCTTGGAGGTAGGACCCTCAAGACTCATGCTTAGATGGATGAAGATCTGTGCACAATGTCCTTAACCTTAGCTTAACCTACTGCTTGTGTCTGACCACACAAATTCACACTAGTGTGTGCTGAAGCTGGAGAATTGGAAATGGTTTTATAAAGACTGAATCTGTTGGCAGAAGAGATTATCATCGTCTGAATTGTGCTGCTGGAAACATCTGTCCTCTGCTACAGCTAGCGGGAGTTGTGTGCACATCACTGGCAGCTCTTTGCTTCAAAAACCTCTTTACTGGTACTTGGAGCCTTCCTCCAAGGGCTCTCCCATCTGCTGGATTTCCAACTCGGACCTCTTTTGCTAGTGCACACTCTTATATCACTGGCAGTATGAAAATCCCTTGATTTCCTGTATGTTCAAGTGCCTGGGTGATGTAATCTAGCCAGTTTTGCCACCAGAGCCCCCTCTACCACATGGGGAATGGCTTGAGAGCCAGGGTCTGGCTGCCCAGTGCCCCCGGGGGCTTTGCTAGGTTTTATTGCCAGCTGCACAGTGCAAATCTGTTCTGCTCCATTCACCCAGGAGCCATTTGCAATTGCAAAAATAAGTTTAACTTGTGTTTCAGTTAAGTAAAAGTGAGGAAGCAGGAAAAAGTGACAGTCTCTACTCTTAAAAAGCTGCTGTTAAGAAGAGAGGCCATCAGACACAGCATAGAGGAGGGCTTTGAAAAGCTTGAGCTGGAGTTCAGCCCCTAATTTGATGTCCTTAAAGCAGGAGCCCAGTGTGGGAACCCTCTCCGCGTTTTTGGGCATCTCCTTCAGAGCCAGGGTTTGAGTTGCTCTCTGTCCAGTTATACTGAATTAATGAAGAGTTTGACGGGCTGCAAATGTGAGGATTTCAGGAGTAGGACTTATATTGGGCAAAGGTTACAAAAAAACCCCAAAGTAATCTCAGTGAAAGAGCCTCGTCTGAAAAAGAGGAATTGCAGGTGAAATATAGCAAGTTTCTGAGCAGGTCTTGGTGCAGCTATAGCAGGATAACAAGTTGTCTCTGCAATAGATATTTGCTGACCCCTGCTTCCTGCTCTGTAGGGCTGGGGAGGCATCTGCTCACTGAGCACTCTTAATAACGATGTGCATGGGGTGCATGTCCTTGGAAAAAATCCAGTTTTTCCCTTTTGATCACCTTGAAACTCCATTTTTGTCACTTATAAAACTTTGATTTGATAACAAACACTTCCAGCTTTGAGCTTTCTGCAGGACTTTTTTTTTTTTTTTTTTTTTTTTTAAGTCCTGTACTCAGATGCTGGAGTTTGCCCAGAAAGTTGTGTTTGTGTCTACCTATTGCTTGGGGTATAATATTGGAAATTCAACTTTTGCCCCACAGGAAAAGCTGATATTTGGATTCTTCAGTTGTGAAATAACAGTTGTATCAATTAAAAATTTAGGTGTGTAGATTTTATTCTAACTCGGAAGACTCGAGTTTTCATTCAAAATAGCTGTGATGTCACTCTCCTGCCAAGAAAATGGTAAACATCAATTTTGTGTCCTTTCGTCTTAATAGATGCAGCAAATGTAACATTAAATGCCACCCTTCTGTAATTAAGCTGGAAAATACAAGGATTAAACCTCCATCAGAAGCGTTGGCTAATTAAAGCACTGCCCTGCTAATTCTGTGGTGCACTTCCACAAGATAAATTGAGACACAGAGAGTCACTGAACAGAAGAACAAGTTGTTCTCTGCTGGGAAACAGAGGTAGCAAGGTTGATGGCTCCCAACTGGTTTTATCCATGTCACACTACCACTGCACGAACTCATCTTTTATGCATGATGTATTCTATTTCTCTAATGAAATACTACTTGTGTGCATTAATGATGGTGGTGCTGGTTGTGATGGAGCTGACTGGTATGAAATCAGCAACCTTTTACTGGTTGGGACTAGACCAGGTTTGGGATAGGAGAAATGTGTTGGCATCACTGGTGACTGTCCTGGGTAGGTGCCTTCTGAGCATCATGAGGAATTGATTATTATCACTTTACTTTCTTGTCTTTGCTAGTGCTGCTCTTCCCTGGGCTGCACAAAATTCAGTGTGAAGTAGTGTGCTTCTGTGCTGGGTTCCAGCAATGGGTTTAGCTGGTGTGGTGACCACAACCACTCACTGGCCCATGGAGCCAGAACTACTGGTGCCTTAAAGGCCAGAAATTGAAAAATATATGCTTATAGCATGGGGACTGTGCAGAACAGCTAACATTAGCTCTCAAAACACACCCTGCATGTCTCATGGGCAATGCGTATATATTTCTGTGTTTTCCCACAGACTTGGATTTCCAAACAGCATCTTGCCCTCACCTCAAGGTACAACTGAGGTAGGAAACTTTCAGCCCACAGAGCTCTGAGAAAACGTGAGCACACGAAAGGAGGGAGAGTTTAAAATTGTTCCTGTTTGCAGTTTTTCCTGATAACGTCATTTTGGATGACAGGCTAGCATTAGAAATGTCATGAATGTTGTGATTTATACGTGACTCCTACAGTTCTGTGCTTTTCTTTCTGCCCTGGTGGTAACTTCAGCAACGAGTGGTCTCTCTGATTGCACAAACCAGAAGGTTTAAGATCTGCTTCTGTTTTTTGTCTTCCAGCCTCCAGACGAGTACCACCTAATCTGGATCACGTCTGATCTCATTTCATTTATTGTAATTGTAGGAGTTTTTATATTCCAGAAGTAAGTAGCGTTATTACATCTTGACCCTCAAGTATTTGTGGCGTGTGTTTTTATTCAGAGCGTGGGGTGGAGATGGGAGAGAGGAGCACGTGCTCCTCAGGTGCTTGGATTGCAATAGCAGGGAAACTGTTTATTAAAAATCCCTACAAAAGACTGCTAACAATAATTCCACTTCTGAGATGTGACATTGAATTGGATGTAGTCACTACTTTTAAAGAATAAGATATCTCAAAATAGTAGCGATAGACGCTTTGGCTCTGTTCATAAATGCATGTGGGAGAGAAACTGTAAATGCTTTAGGGAAATGGACTTTCAGAAAGAGAGAAAAAGCTTTAAAGGAAGAAGAGGAGATGTTTTAAGATTCCACCATTATAGTCTTCAAAAATAACATGTCTCAGTTTTCTTAAATCTGTTTGTTCCCGTTTTGATGAAAAAATAGAAATGTTATGATCTAGCAAATCAAATCAGTTGCTTAGTTTGCACAGAGAAAGCCTCTCCATTTTCCAAAGAAAAGGGAGAGCAAGGATTTGATGAGGGCACTACAGAAGCATCTCTGTTAGCCGTGGTCCCTGAAGACAAATGTGGAGCATAAAACCTAGGAGCAGAGCAAGTTAAGACACTGGTAAATTGGGAGGAGGTAAATCAACTTCATAATGGCAGAGTTGGCCAAGCTACACTCCTCTTGATTATACTGGAGGAAGCCACGGTGTCCTCCTGGTGATGTGCCTTTTCTTCTGGGAAGCATTTTAGCTGTCAGTGGTGACAGTGTAATAACCCTCTCTGGGAAAAAAGCGTGAGCTCAGAAAGATGTGTTCCTTCCAGTGAGAAACAGCAACCTTCTCCTGGGAAAATGTGTCATTCTGAAATTGCATCTCCTCTTCCCCTGGCTCTATAATCTCATCTACTTTGGCACACTCAAATGACTGTCCTAGAGATGTCAAGGGACCTATGTTTTCCTTCTTGATATCCAAAATGCTTTTGCATTAGAAGCAGCAATTTAATTTGCTTCATCTTCATGAACTAGTGATTTTGCTGTTACGTTGTCCCAGATCATCTGCTTGCATGATCTGGGTGTGTAATTACCCAGGTATTTTTGCCATGTTACAGTAGGCTATTGCTCCTGTCAGCACCAGCTAGGGATTTGACTTCAGGCCACATATTTATAATTGTGTCTAAGTTTATGACTTTCCCAGTTCCATGCTGGTAAACCTGTTCCCAGCAGTTCCTAATTCCAACATAGGATAATGGAGTCAGCAGCAGATTCAAACCTCGCCTCTCACATTAGATTTCCCGACAGTAAATAAAAGCACTGACCAAGATGAGATTAAATTTTTTTAAGAAGTCTTGTGATCTGAATTGTGGCCGATTTAAACCTTTCCTCTCCAGAAGGGTGTTGTGGTTGTGTTGTCTGAAAGCTTCCTCCACTCTCTAAAATAATCAGTTGGTTTAGTAAGAGATGTTGCTACTTTTGAGACCCTGTACTTCTCTGTCAGATACAGAAATGCATGGAGGAGTCTAGAGGCAGGGACTGACCTCTCTGAAGAGCAGAATTTGAAGGCCAAGTTGATGAGATATTTGGCTTTGGGAGAGGATGCAAAAGACTGCAGTTTTAGAAGGCTTTCCTGAATCAGACCCAGGAGACCACAGCTGAAGAAATTAAGGTGATTCAGCCTGCAGAATGGGAACTATAGGTCCCAGAGCAGAATGAAATGATGCATTCTTGGAGAGAGGGAGAAGTTGCAGCTATGTGGACTTTGCAATAGCTGGACTCTTCCTCTCTGCACAGATTGAATTTCTTCCAGTTTGAAAGAGGTTTGATGGAGTTGGGCAAGAGGAAGCAGGGGAAGGAAGTCGTTAGTGTGGGATTTCTCTTCCACCCTCAGTGTGAGTGTGATACAGGTGAGAAGAGCTGGAAACTGCCACCAGCTTTGCCCAGAGTCCATCAGCCTGGAGCACTGAGCTCCCTGCCCAGCCTCCGGACCTGACCTAGAAAGGCAGTTGCTCAGAGAGGTCTGGCCATGCGGGGTCCATCGTGGCAGGGTTAAATGTCATCTTTTGGATCTCTCCCTTGGGACAACTCAACCCCAAGTCAGTATAAGGAAGAAGGAGAAACTCTAGTACCAGAAGTTGGACTTTCTGCGGCAAAGGTCTTGCTCTTCCAAGAGCAGGAAAGACCCATTTCCCTGCCGTTGCGGTTTCTCCACCACATGAAAGAATTTGTCGCAGTGTTAAGGATATATCAAAACCAAATTGGAGCAGAACTGCCTAACTACTACCTGCTGGTGTAATTCAGCTCTGGGAAATGGGGCTTGGCATTTGGCCTTCAGTGTTGTGGTTGGTGGTTTTTTTGTGACTTTTTTTTTTTTTTCCCCCCAAGTCCTTTTTGGGGTAAACCAGAGCTGCTTCCTTCATGCAAGGAGGAGGGGGGTGGGTGGGACCAGAGCCACCGCTTCGATGTGCTCGTCCTCTTTCCTACGCATGGCTTGTCTCTCCTCTGTAGCCACGGGTAGGGATTGCTCCTGCTGTTCTGCTTCAGCCCTGGTGACAGGATCATGGCAGCCTCTCCTGAGGGGAAATACCAACTGTGATGACTTCTAACCAATCTTTTTTGCCTCTTTGCCTTGTTTATTTTCTTACTGCTCTGACTTGTGCATGTTCCTCCTCTTTCTCTCTCTGCTGCATTCTGGCATCTCACAGCTATCACATGATCAGGTAATTCTGGTACTTTCCTCCTCTTTCTCTTTTTCATTCAACCTTCCTTTCTCTCTTTCTTTCTCCCTCTCTGCTATGGCTTCACTGCAGATGGACAGGGCAGGACACGGTTTTTCATGATGCTTTCAAACATCTGGCTTCACAGGGGTGGACATTGTATAGTCTATAGCCATGGGCATTACAGGAGCCTGATGCTGAAGGCAATCTGATCTCCTATTACAATGATCCAACTCGCTGCCTTTTAAAACAGCCCTATTCTGAGGTCCTGCAGTGTGTTGTAATTGGGAAATTCCCAGTGGATGTAATGCTTTCTCCATGGAAATAATCCCATGCAAAATATCCTCTTCCTTCCTGTGTTTACCAGAGGTTTTTGAGACCAGCCTCTTCTAAATTGGACAACTCTAAAGAAAATAATGTAACCTGTGTGATTATATAAAGTAGCCCTTCTCTTGCCCTGGGAATGAATTAATAAGGCTAATAGCTGGAAAGGTGTGGCTCATCAATTGCTTCACTCAGGGCTTAGGATCTTTCAGGAGTCTCTTTCCAGTTACACCACTGTGAAATGGGAAGCACAGCGTGAAAATAAATAGCGTTGCACCCAGGAAGGGAATGCGCCTGGGATGCTGGATTTGAAGTGCCATCAATTGGGAACTCAGGTTTCTCCTTGTCACCAGTCGCTCTCATCCCCTTGGAGGGAAGCGCTGTCGCTTTTCTGCAGTAAAGCCTTCACCGTGTCCGTGCTCGGACCAAACTCTTCATGTGTTACCTTCTTCATTCCTTCTGCTGTGTACCATGAGGTTGTATTTCTGAGGACTTGGCTACTCCCTACCTGTGCTTATCTGCCTCTATGCCTCTGCCCGCCCACTGCCTTGGGGGTCGGGGTTGGCCACCTGCAAGTATTGCCTGCTCCATGTGATGTACCTTGGACTTGCGGCGTTACGTCCTCGTGGCATCTCCCCAAAACAGGACCTGGCTATGGGACCTGGCTGACCCCTTCTGTGGGTGCAGGGAGGTTGGGTGTTTTCCCCTTCTTGCTTCCCCCTGGCTTGTGGATAAGGAGAAGTCAGGCGTGGAGGAGTTGGGCAGGCTTTAAGCAAGAGCAGTCGCAGGATGGGGACTCTGTGGTTGCAACTGGCTTGGCTCTACGCTCGCTCCATCTTATCATCTCGGTACCAACCAACCTCGTTTTCTCCCCAGCCTGCCCCTCTCCCATCCTCTTTCCCTGCCATTTAGCATCTTGCCTCCAAACCAAGGGCCCCAGTCTTGGCCCTAACATGGTGTATGCTGTCTCTGTTGTCGTCGCAGTATTTTTTAGTCTGTTCCCACCCTGTGTCCGTCTGGTCTGCTTTGACGCCAGCCTCCCAGAACAAGACCTACCTGCTGTCTGTCTGGCCTTTTTGCACGCTGCTGTCCTAAACGTGGTCGATCACAACAGAGAGCCCAAGGGGGTAGGAGAGGTGCTATTTTCTATTAAACAAGCTTTCTGGAGACACAAAGGCTACTGAGCATGGCAGAGAGTATTTCATATGGTGTTGATTGGAGTTGCATCACGGTTAAATGTACTGGTGGCTCTTCTAAGAGGGTGTTTGAAAGTACCCCTGAAAAATGGACTTACTCCCTCCTAGTTTGTTCAATCAGGTCAATGCAGCCCTGTGAGAAGAGTTGTTGGCCCCTTGTGCATATTTAACCACCCTGGGTCTGACTGCAGCCACCGTGTGATGTAGAGAGCAGAGAGCAGTGCTTGTTCCTCTTGGCAGGAGGAGAAAAGCCCTTGGTCCCTGCACCCCTTTGAGGCTGGGCTGTCTATGCCTCAAAATAGCCCGTGTCCTCCATGGGATGTCTAGGACTTATGGGCAAGAGATCATCGTGCCTTTTGGCCATGCAACCCAGCCTAATGCTGAAAATCCTGATGTTGTGGGCAAAGAAAAGACTCTTCGTGGCAATATGTTTTGGTCCTGATTATAGTTTAAGGAGGGTTTTATCCTGTGAGAGCCTATGCACTTGCAACCACATTGACCTTAGTAATCTTAGGGATCTGACTGCATGGGACACTAAGGGTAAAAATGGTGGTCTTCCAAGTCAAAGTGGCTCATCTGAGATGATAGTGATGATAGAAGAAAAAGAATTCTTTTTATTTTTAATTTTGTTAATGTTTTAATGTCTTTGCCTCCTCTGTGTTGCTTCTGTCCATGGGTCTGTGAGTTGTGTTGTGTTGCCATCCCACCTTCTCTTCTCTCTGTATCAGAGCACTGCTTTCACCCATACTCCAGTCAGAGCCTGATGGCATGATGTCAGCTGCTGGGATTTGGGAAGGGAACGCCCATGAAATCGGTACCAGTTAGATTTTCCTGGAAAAGTTGCAGAACTTCTTTTGTGGATATTCCTTTGTCAGGCAGATGTGATGGACCTAGTCTGGAGATGTGTGGGGCTCCTCAAATCCTCTGCTCCCCGAGACTGGGGAGGGGGTTAGAAATTTGAGAAGGCTGTTGTCAAGCCCCCCTCCCCAGACTCCCCCCTACCCCCCCCCCCCCCCCAGAAAAAAAAAAAAAAAAAAAATTGAAAAAAAGAATCATATTCTCCTGTGTGGCTGAACCACTAGATGGTGCCAGAAGATCAGAAACACCCTGTAAACCACCCTAAATCCCTGCTGCTTCTCCATCAAATAGCCTTATAGCCTGGCTCTGGCAAGGAGAATGGGATTTACTTGGAAGCCTTCCTCTGTGGTCAGGAGGTAGGATGAATCGCTGGGGTGTATTCTATGAAAGCCTGGCCTAAACATCATCCCTCTGCAAGGGGATCTTGGATATTGTTGCTTTGTCTGAGCCCACCAAGCCCTATTTTTCCCTAACGTGTCAGCAGCCCACCCTTCACTCCTAATGCTAGCAGCTCTGCAGCTGAAGGTCTGCTACAAGTGTGCTCTCAGGCTGAAAAACAGCTTTAAAAGCAAAATACCCCTGGAACTTGCTGCAATTATTACTAGCACCAGTAATTTTCTTTAAGTGCATTCGGTAATGAGACTAAGTCTGGCTAATTTTAAGTTGAGCCAGTTCCCGTCATGTTCACATGGTGGAAACTTTTGGTGAACACTGAGGGTTTTAAGCCTTGATGAAAGTGGAGGTTTTGTGTAGAAACATTTAAGTAAAGACTTGGCATTTGGGGAGAGAAGTGTACTGGGCAACAATACATTTTAAGGGCTCTGTATGTGACAACTGCCTGCATTGGGACTGCTTATACTTTCCTGCAGCTCACATTGGTGTCTTTACTGTGTCTCAGGTTTGAGACCTTAAGTTGTCTTTGAGCTCTCTTCTCCCACAACTGTGAGCATGTCACTCTGAGGAAAAGGTTATGGTTTCTTTACTTGGCTTGGTCTCTTGTTCTGTTCTCTCTTTCCCACCATAACAGTCAAAATAACCCTATCTTCTTTGGGCAGATCTGATGTGATAGAGAGGGGCTTGGGGTGTCTTCAGTCCTTGGTGAAATTAGTGGAATTAGGATGTTCAAGGTAGTTAAAGACCTGCTTGTATTTCTATACCCCTCCTGAGAAAACATACTCATCTCTGAACATCCTCCTATTGTGCGGGGTTGCATAGGTGCAAGGGAGCAAAGGCATGAGGGTCTCTGGGAGTTGTTGGTCTCCACATTGTTGGTGGTCGCTTGTGTTGAGGATGCTCCCGTGGCTGGGGAGACCAGCCCCTGATATCCCCCTCCTGTCTTGCAGGTGGCGCCTAGGAAGCATCAGGACCTACAACCCGGAGCAGATCATGCTCAGTGCTGCTGTCCGCCGGTCCAGCCGGGATGTCAAGATCATGAAGGAGAAGCTGATCTTCTCAGGTATGGATGGGGCTGGTCGGTCAGAGCCCTTTGCTTCGTCCCTCAGCTGTCACCCTACTCTCTGCTGATGGAGGCGGTGGTCTTGACACGGGTGTCATCTCCTATTGGTGAGACAGGGTGACTGGACTGACCCTACTGCACTGAACCACTTGTGGGATATGATTATGGCTCATCCATCCCAAACTGGTGTAGGACTGAGCATTGATTTGCTCAAAAATTCTGCGTTAAATTTCCCAAGTTATGACATGCAGCTCTGTCAAACTGTCCCACATCTTCTCTGCTCTCAGTTGTCATCAGTGTGTCAAAAGCTGTAAACCCCATTAAAATAATGACATAGGTCACCACAAACAGGGCTGATGAGTTTGGGGTAGATCTGAAATTCAGTGGCACTATAGGTTGAGAGGTTCCCGATATCCTTCTGCTCCTCCCAGCGTTTATTTGTGTTGGAACAGGCTGCAATGTGTCCATCTCACCCCACCTCTAAGGACAATCTCAGAAATGCGTACAAAGAGGGAAACATTTAGCTTTAAAAGATTACTGTTGGTGCATGAAGCTCACGTTTGAAGGAAGGTGGATATAATCTTTCCTTGAGCGTTATTTTAGGTTTTCTTTCTTTGTATTTAGGGGCTAGAGACCTTCAGCAGGGATCAGAGTGTATTGTACTGGGTACACATACAGCAAAAAGACAACTCTTGCTTCAGAGAGCTTATTGTGTGAAATGCAGGCCTGATTCTGCCCTTTAGAGATAGCGAAAATCAGGTGTAAATCCCAGGAACTCAGAGAGGGAAAGGGTTTGGTCACAGCAGAATTAAGCCTCCTTAATGTCTTCTAGATATAAAATGTCCTAGACATAAAATACCTTTAGAGGTAGGGGATATATAGTGAAGTTTTATGCCTCTGAAACAAAACTTGCTTAGGGTGGGTGTTTGCAATTAAAACACAGGCAGTTGCATATTTTTCCTAGGGAAACCAGTGCCTATTTGAGTCTGCCCTTTTTCCATTTGGGTAGGGATTAAGTTCAGGTATTTTGCACCCTTTTCCCACAGGTGACATAGCATCATGGCGGGGGGGGGGGGGGGCAGTTTTGCATCTGATGGTGGCACGATTGTCAAGGTCTGAAATTTGGAGGCAGATCCTGTTCAGAAATGGTTTTAAATGGGTTCAATCTTACTAAACCCCAGGTGAAATCCCTGTAGGATCAAATGGACCCCATGTGGTAGAAATGCACAGCTCTCAGTGCCTCAGTTTCCCCATCCATGGGGAAGGGAGCTCCTGGGACTTGCACCCCTTGTGACGCTGTCCCTGCTTTCTCTACCCTCCCCAGAGATCAACAACGGTGTGGAGACCACGGACGAGCTATCTCTCTGCTCCGAGAACGGCTATGCCAACGAGATGGTCACCCCCACGGATCATCGGGACACCAAGCTGCGGATGAACTGAGGGGCTCCGGTCCAACCCCGGCTCGTGGCGTGCCCCGCGTTCGCTCCAGCAGCGAGAGCCGTGCTCTCCTGCTTGCTGTGGGATGGGAACCTTTGAGGAACTGCTGGTTGGGCAGAGACCCCTTCCCATACCCCATCACTAGCTGCTCCACCTCCCTGGTTGTGAGGTTGGGGGGCTTATTTTTGTAAATATGTAGAAAATCTGATTTTTTTTGGTCCCCTTTTTGAGTGTAATTTTTCCAGGGCATGAGTGGAAATACTGTGTTCATTAAATCCTCAACCTTATGGCTGAAGTTATTTGAATGTTGATGTGACAGCCCGAGTCCTCTTGGGGGGGTTCTGGGAAAAACACGTTGGACATGTGTCCCCTTTCTCCCCCTTGCCCTGCTCCACTCCTTCCCTTGGTGCAGCGACTGTGTAGCTGAATGTTGTGATGTTCTTGTGTAGTGTCGTTTTTGTTATGTTTGGTTTTTGGGTTTTTTTGTTTGTTTGTTTGTTTCCCCCCTTTTCCCGGGCAATGAAGTTTTAGTTCTAATGCAACAGGAGGTGGTTTGGAGGAGAGAAGCTTTCCTAGGAGAGCGGATAGCACTGCTCTTCCCTGCTGAAATTCAAAGCCAGGGAAGGGGTTGCACTGGCTCAGTCACTTGGTCACCTTCTCCCTGGTCCCGTCCTCCTTTCCCAAAGCCTGGATGCTCACAGGAGAATGGCCTTCTTGAAACGTCCTGTCGCAGTCTTGAAGGCAAATCCTGAATGTTGGCTGCAGATTGGCCTCCGTTGACAGCAATGTTTTGATTTTTGATTGTTTTTCCACACACTCCCACCCCAACTTTTTTCTTTCTATCTTTTCCCTGAGTTGGGCTCTGTTGGGAGCCTGGATGGCTTGCAAAAAGCAATGCCTTTGGCACCATCACCACTCAGATCTGGCTAAAGTGCCTGCCACTCCAAGTGGCATTTGCAGTCGCTCCTTGCTTCCCTGTCCTTGCACCCTCGTAGGAAGAGGAGGTGGTGGTGTAGTGTGACCTTCCTCCCTCTCTGGGCCAAGCAGATGCCCATGGGTGAAGAAGTTGTAAATAGTTTGGAAGGTGAAGCAGCCCCGGAGTGTAATTTATTCCTGCAAGGAGATATTTCCTCCTTGCTTTAAAAGCAGGATCTTTAAAAGCTGCATGTTCACGTCCTCCAAAGGAGTGACAGTCTTGCAGCAGATGCTGACAGGCTCATGAAGGCAAGAGCTCTCATCAGCGTGTTTCCAATGCAAAAGGCTTTAAACCTTGAACCAGCTCACAGCCAGGCCAAGGGCAGTCTCAGCTCTCTGCTCTTGACCTTCAAGGCCTCGTTGAGAGGAGCCCGTTTTTGGGTCACTTTGCTGTTCGCACGGAGCCAGTTCCCAAGGCAGCTGAAGCCAGCTGGAAGGCTGCTGGAGCTGTGAATGGGTCTTGGCTCGGTCCCCGCGGCCTTCTGGGGTTGGGTTGCTTCCTTCCTTGCTGGGTCTTGGTCAACACAACGTGAGAAATCCCATTGAGCGTGAGCTTCCTTTGAAGCTCGGTGCGCACTGCCGTGAAAGCGATGGGACCGTCAAAGTTCTTTCCCGTGGAGGGAATGGGAGCTGAGGCTGAGTCTTTGGCCAAGCTGGGTTGCAGAGCCCACGAGCAGCTGGGAGAAGTCACCTTGCAGAGAAGAAGGTGGTCTAAGGGATGTTGATGTGCATCATGTTCAACGCACAAAGCAGGCTTGGAAAGGCCAGAAACAAGCCACAGTAAGAACAGCCTCAAGCAGTTTGTTCTTGTTTTGGCAGCACTGAACTGCGCTCTCTTTTTTTTTTTTTTTTTTTTTTCAGCTGTACTCCAGTAATGTTTTGAAACCCCAAACTCTTGGGCTGTGTGTAAGACTTGGGGGCAAAAGTGGCCAATTTATCTATGTAAAAGAAAAATGCCCCTATTAATAATGAAAATATGAATTGTCACACTTTAATGAGCACCTCCTAAGCAGTGCACACCAAGACGTTAATCCGTTTACACCTACCCTGGGTTTTTATGAATGTAAGTGGAGTAAGACCCTGGTCCGTGCTGCCTTTTAGCTTCTCCAAATACCGTCCTTCTATATGGTACTCTCCTAAGTCTGTGAAACAGTGTGTTTTTTTTTATTCTGCAGAATTGCAAAATTTTGGTGGATCTGAAGGCTTTTGAGAACAAAGTTGCTTCTCCCTTTAATGTGGTGCTGTATTGAAACATTCCCAGTGGATTGTCATTGCCAAGTGAGAGATGTTTAAATCTCAGCATCTGTTGATAATCACCTGCATGTTCTGTTTTTATCCTTGGAAATGACTTTATTGAAAGGTCAAGTGCTTAGAAACTTGGAAGTGTTAAAAGCAATCCAACCGACAGTTGTTTTTTTTTTTTTTTTTTTTTTTTCCAATTCACTTTTTTCTTTATTTTTTTTTATGACGAGACCCAAACTTTATGCGTGATGCACTGACTGTTACCCTTATCGTCCTGAATATTTGCTACCTTTCTTTTTAAAAGGATGATACTTTTTTGATGAAAATAGACCTAGACCAACATAAACTCTGCAATGCTCTGTGAAATAAACTGTCAGTATTCCCCTGCCAGCCTCTGATGTTGTGTGTTCTGGGGATCGCCTGCGTAATAATGATGCCTTGATCTTCCCCCCTGTTTTTCTGCTTTTTGATAATTCATGAAGGAGCTAAAGGTCTGACCAGAAGAAGATTTGGACATCTATCCTTGAGTTTGGTACAGTTATGTTGCATCTCTTGATGACACCAAACTGAGTGGTGCAGTGACATGCTGAAGGGAAGGGATGCCGTCCGGAGGGACCTGGGCAGGCTGGAGAAGGGGGCCCACATGAACCTCATGGAGTTCAGCAAGGCCAAGTGCAAGGTCCTGCACCTGGCAATCCCTAGTATCCATGCAGGCTTAAGGTTGAAGGGATGGAGAGCAGCCCTGCAGAGAAGGACTTGGGGATACTGGATGGAAAGCTGGACATGACTTGACAGCACTGTGCGCTCGCAGCCCAGAACCCACCCGTGCCCTGGGCTGCAGCCAGAGCAGGGGGGGCAGCAGGGCCAGGGAGGGGATTCTTCCCCTCTGCTCCGCTCTGGGGAGACCCCCCTGCAGTGCTGGGGCCAGCTCGGGGGCCCCCAACAGCAGAAGGACACGGAGCTGCTCGAGCGGGGCCAGAGGAGGCCACGAAGATGCTGGGGGGGCTGGAGCAGCTCCCCTGGGAGGCCAGGCTGAGAGAGTTGGGGGGGTTCAGCCTGGAGAAGAGAAGGCTCCAGGGAGACCTTCGAGTGGCTTCCCAGGGCTTAAAGGGGGGACAGGAAAGGTGGGGAGGGACTCTGGGTCAGGGGGTGGGGGTGGGACGAGGGGTGACGGTTTTAAACTGAGAGAGGGGAGATTGAGCTGAGATCTGAGGAAGAAATTGTTCCCTGTGCGGGGGGTGAGGCGCTGGCCCAGGGTGCCCAGAGCAGCTGTGGCTGCCCCCTCCCTGGAAGGGTTCAAGGGCAGGTTGGACGGGGCTGGGAGCACCCTGGGCTGGAGGAAGGGGGCCCTGCCGGGGGCAGGGGGGTTGGGACTAGATGAGCTTGAAAGGGCTCTTCCAACCTGAACTGTTCTGTGGTTATATAGTTCTCTCCCATCCAGGTTTTAGAAGACAGTATCTTAAATGCAGTCACGTGGAGACAAGGTGACTGTGCAGACCTGAGTATTGAACAGTAACTGTAGAATAATTTTTTAGTGTTTGTGGCCACATGGGGACAATAATGCACCCGTAGAACTTATCAGGCAGCAGTTTTAAACCAAACAAATGTGAAGTAATTAATTTTTTATACACATTATGCAAGTCATTGCCCCAGGGTTCTGTGAAGGCCAAAAACCATAAGCAAGTTTGAAGATGAATAAATGGCTCATATGTCCATTAGCGCTTATTAAACAAAGGAGTCTGAATGTGAGATCCAGCTTGGGAAGTTGATGAGCAGTTCTTTTCTAAACGTGCATGCTAAAGAGAAGTGCTTCCTCTATTTTTATTTTTTTTATTTTTTTTTATTTTTTTATTCTTTACCCCAGGATCTGCTCCCTGCTGCAGACAGAGGGTGCTTCGGGCAAGAAGGGGATCTTGTCTGGGTCAGCATGGGATTGTTCTTTGTTAAGCAGCTGTTTTCTCCGGCCCCTGAATGGCTGCATTTAACTGATAGTTGAAAGGGATTAAAGTAAATACAGGACTATTTCACTGGTTGGTGATGGGTAGTCAGTACCGTGTCATGAATTTGACTGGCTCTGGGAATACTGTTTGAGTGTTAAATATAAAATTGCCCTAGGGGAAGGAGTAGAGATCCTGATATCAACAATATTGAATAATCCTTAACTGGGGGCTGTCGTTGCTGTACTCCAGGGAAAGATTTTGAAAAGTTGAAAGGAGTGAAATGAGAGTCATGTAGGCTGTGTCTGTTATTCAAATAAAAGAGCTGAGGATTGGTTGCTGGCTCTAAGCCCAAATGGCTTGGGACAGCCAACATTGTGCTATTTAACTCTTTTTCTTCCTCTCTAAAACTGCCTTTATTTATAAGAGCTTAGTGGTCCAGCTGGGATAGTTCTTGTGGTGTCTGGGAATGTTTCCAGCCCTTTAAATTTGCCAGCTGAGTTGTTGTCCTGGGGTCTGGGAGGTGCTGCTGATGTGACCATGCCCTAGGCCTGCATGGTTATCTGCCATAAGAGGGTTCCCTTATCTCTTTGAAAGCCTTAATACTATTCAGTGGATAGGAGCTTTCAAAGTTCAAACTGAGCATGAAAAGTCTAGCCATGATGTGAGCACAACAGCAGCATGAGGCCGAAGGCTGGTTCCCCTTCTCCTGGACTCTTGGTGCAAGTAACCTCTTCTTGGCTGAAGTTCCTAACCACGTTTCACGTTCAATGTGAGTATTGACCATATGTGAAATAGGAAAACAAGTTGTTGTTGGTTTTTTTTTTTTTTCCTCTTAAGCCTTTTGATTTTCTCCCTCTCATCCTTCTGGACTGTGCTTCTGTTACTTCTCTGCCCTTACTCATCTACCTGTCTCTCCTGCTTTGGTCTCTTCTCCTGGAGGTGGGTGACTGCCTTTCACTTCTAACTGGCTGAGGGTGAAAAGAGGGTATCCTGACTCTCTCCATGGCAAGGTGGAGCTGTGGATGGTGGTGCCAGGAGTGCATAGACAGCTGTCCTGCATAGGATGCATTTCTTTCTCTTGGGCATGTGCTGGGGAGGTACAGACCACAGCATGATCAAATCCTAGTGACCATCTCCCTCAAGATGACTCAGCATGGCCTCTGTTAGCCAATTCATCCAAAACTCTCATCTACATTTCCTCTTGCCTTTCCATTCTTTTATCTTTGTTTTCTCATCAGCTTACCTGCAACCCTTCTCCTCCCTATTCCCTTCTCCTCCCATTTGCTCCTTCAGGAAGCTTTGGCCCTACATTCACAGAGAGCTTTCCCCAACAGGCGCCTGGAGTTCCTGCTTCTATATACTTGTATTTCCCACTTGCATATTTTTAATGCTTGTGGCTTTGTGCCTAATGGCTTTCATGAGCCATGTGTCAGGGGCTGAGCATTTTGAATGTGAAGAAGGGATTTTAGAGTCCTAATCCGTTGTAAGATCACTGCTTCTTGTGTCTGTATCTACCTGGGAGAAGATCCGGGAGCAAAGGACAGGTTGAGCTCCTGCCACTACATAAGGTGTCCTTCCTCTGGGGCTGCCTAGCAGACACCCCTTTCAAACACCCCCATTTCCTGCAGCTCTAAGGGGTATTCAGTGTCCTCATTGTTTCATGGAAAAAGGCCACAAATGTGGGGTTTAGCACAGGCTTTGCACAGTGACACTGATTTGGGGCACGGTGGCATCACATAGGGAGACCCAAGGCCAAGTGCAGTCTGGTGGTAGAAATCTGTTAGGTGGCTTGTCGTGGCCAAAGGGACAGCTGCACTGTGGTAACTTCACTCGGTGTTTACAACTCTTAGTAGCTGCTCCCCCCCCACCCCTGGGGCCTCACACACTGCTTGAAGCTGGGGTTTGGCTTTGGATGGGTTGGTCGCCCCATCCTTTGTGGTTGCAAGAAGATGACAGCTTTGCAACCTTGCTGAAGAGTTTCCAACACTCTGGAGACCTTTTTTTGCTGTGGCCCACAGGGCAGGATCATTGCTGTGCTGCCATTTGTCCTGATGACCCACTCCCTATCATCTCTAGCTCCATCCTTACGCGGACATGATTGTACCCCTGGTCGGTGCAGCCTGCAAGTGCCAACTCTATCAGGGTGGAAGATCCTAAAAGAAAATTCCCCAACCCTTCCCAGCCCACTGCACAGTCTGGGAAACCACGGTCCCTTCCAGGTTGCCGGTGATTCATATGCAAATGTTGGGAGCAAGCAGGATGCCAGCTTATGCCCTGCATCCCAGCGATGGGAGAGGAGCAGAAAGGAGCCAGCCAGCAAACACGGCAGTGGTGCCCTGCAGAAAGGCGATTTCACTGGGATGACAACGTGCAGGGGCTGGTTGTTATTAATATTGCTCTTCTGTCTGGTGTGAAGTAATACACGTTGTTCAAAGCAATGCTGGACAAGGTGGGGAAGGCTGGCTGCATTATATTAAGGGGATTGATCATCTTCACACAAGGGTTACTTTGTGGAGCTTCCCCAGGGCTGCTTTGATCCCTGCTATGAGGATTTAAAAATTCAGCCAACAACTAGGATTGAGTTAGAGGGGAGGGTGCAGAAAGCCACATGGGGCAAACCTCCCCTTCTGTCCTCCTCATCCCCAAGGAACTAATTACCTAATTATCACACATTAATGAGGGGGACTGCATCTTCTCCCTGACTCAGTCCTTTCTGCTCCAGGCATCGTTTTGCTCAGAGAGCTGTATTTTATTTATTGCCTTTAGTGTGGTTTCCAGCAAGACAGAGTCTCTATAAAATGAATTGTTCCACCTGGACCTCAATTTGCTCTCCAGATGGCTCGGCCCTCTTAAGCTGCCCTGGTGTGATATATTTTCCCTGAGCTGTGATAGGTTTTCCCTGGGTCCTGGCTCCTCCCTGGCTGGCTGTTATTGACAGCTGCATGGCTAATGCCCTGTAGCTCTCTGGCATGTCATTCAGGAGAAACAAAAGCAGATTTCTCCCCCACCTCTCCAGCAGTAAGGATAAAGGGGATGCTTTTGTGCTTCCCCAAGAGTTGCTGCAGAAGGGCTGAGTGTGCTTTGCGGAGGGGACCTGTCTCTGTGCAGAGCCCCAGCGTGGATGGGAGCTCTCCAAGAGGGAAGTTGAGTCTTTGCTAGGTCCCACCTGGACAACACAACCTGTGGGCCAGGTAATGTTGGACTTTGTGCACTGGTAGCTGAGGAGGCTTGGGGGAAAAAAAAAAAAAAAAAAGAAAAAAAACTAAAAAAAATGCAGTGTTTGCTGCTGTGTAGTGCTTGGATAGAGAGAGTGACCCAGAGAGGAGTGTGCATGGGTGAGGGCAATGGGGCAAACTCCCTCTTTCTTTGGCATTGGCATCGTTTGTCTCATGGGTAAATGGGAATTATGTGAGCTGGGAAAGGGCATTTGGATTAATTGGGGAGGGAGCAGGGGGTGTCTCTATGTAAGGAGGTGAGCCCAAGATGTTTCTTCTCAGCATTGAGCCGTGTAGAGCTGCGTGTGACCGTGATGGCTTAGAATCGTGTGTGGATCAGGGAGAGAAGTGGGAATATAGAAGTGTTTTTCTTTCTTGGCCAGAGCCGCGTGTGTCAGTGAAATGTGTAGTCTGTCGTACTCTTTGCAAAGGCATCTCTAAATAGCTACCTTTGTTGTAACTTCTCTAAATCACTTTGACCCAACTAATAACAGTTCCCTTCTGTACACAGCCCTGAGCATCCATCAGTGGCATTTGGGGTGTTTAGAGCCTTCATCCACTCCCACAGGATTTCTTAAATGTTTAGTTAGGGCTTGTCATGCTGCTTCACTACTCTTTAAATCTCTGCAGCTCCCTTGTGGCACGGGCAAAGGTGCTTTCCCCACTGCTGGGAGATTCTGGAGGCACAAAGGATAAGGTGACACTTTATTGGGGTGGTGGGGCGAAGATCCTCAGGTCTTTGGTTCTCCTACACACAGCTATCCTGGTGCAGGTGCAGCCAGGACGTGTCTTCTGGAGCATGGGGTCTGCTTTGGGGTCTGTGGTCAGATGCAGTGGCTGTCTGGGAGATGCAGATGTAGGAAAAGAGATGAAAGACTAGAGCTAAACCAGTGATTTTTGACTTGTGAGAAATTCAAGGTAATCCTCCTCAAGGGATGTGCTATTTATCTTACTGCAGGGGAGTGTGTGGACACCACAAAGCCACTGATGTCTGGTAAATTGACACCCCGGTGGGGAGTTGTGCTTCTGCCAGAGGCTTGTGGCGAGGTGCTCCAGAGAGTGATTTAGGGGTCCCTTAAGAGCAGAGTGTGAGCCCACCCCTCAAACTGGCTCTTTGCTGTTACAGAGCCTCAGAAAGCAATATGAATCTCAGCCGTGGTAGAAGCTGCGATCAGGAGTGCTCTGCTAATGTCCCTCACTGGCATCCCCACTCAAGGACTGGTGCTGCCCTTCTGTCATGCTTTTAAAACACAGGTGGTAGCATTGCTGTGCCTGTTTTATTTAACATCCAGCTGGTGAAAGCAGCCGGGGAAGTGCAGGGAGACCCAGGTTCAATCGCTTCCTCACTCTTCTCCCCCCTTCAGCATCTGGGGCTGTGCAACAGGGGGGATTTGGGGAAGTGGAGGAGCAATGCCAAGCTGGGAGTGGGTCTAGGATGGTTGAGGGCAGTAGCTGAGGGTTTGGGAGTCTTGATTCACTCATCATTATCAGGAATAGTTAATTCTTGTCACTATTTCAATGCTGCAATGCTCTTCTGCTTTTCAGACCCCTCCTCTGCAGGCAGAGGCCCTTTTCCCCAGGGGTCACTCTTTACAGGTGACCTGGCTGCCTCCCCCCAACTTCAGCAGGGATCACCCTTTGGGATATACAGCTATTTGCAGCCTCCAGGCTGAGTATGTGACTTTCCCTGTGCTACAAGGACGGGTCCTACTGCTCACACTGTCAGTGTGAACTGTTAGAGCTCAAATGAGACAAGTCTGCCGTGTTTAATTGCAATCACTTAATGAAATCCTTTAGGAAAGATTTAAAATCATCCAGAGAATAAATATAGCAAAAAGGTATGTCAGACGTAGATATCTCCCCTGCTTTTGGGCAGGTCATGTCATAGCTACCTCTGGCAAATCTCAGTTTCCCATCCTTAGCTCTGGCTTTTTGCCTGGAATAAGTCATCTGGGAAAACATGGATAGAAAATGTCAAAATACTGCGATGTTCCCAGTACAACTGGGCTGTACCATAGGGCGCTTGAATTTGAGAGGATGGGGAAACCAGTTAATAAGAGCTGTGAGGTGTCAGAAAGAAAGGGCGTCGAGGTGGTAGCACAGCATAGGTTGGACAAGGCAACTACCTTAGAAGAAATGTCTCCTAAAAACACAAATTTATCTGAGATGGGGTTGGATTGGAAATATCCCAGTGCCCGTCACTGTGCTGTGGTTTGGAGGAAATGGGTTACTGAGGTGGAGCCACGTGTGTGGATGATGGGGCAGAGTCTGACTATGTTTTGGCTGGAATCTGCACTTCCTCAGGGCACTGAGGGAGATGCAGAGACCATGATGATATTGGACATTGCAGTCAGATATTTTAATACATGTACTGTTCTCTTGTCTCCTTCACTGCTTCCCAATCAGCATGCATCGAATGATGAAAGAAGAATCGAGTTTCAGGACAAGCAGCCTGGAAAATGTGACGCGGGACCCAAGCAAAGAAAAGCTTCACATGAAGCTCTGCAGTGGGTCCTGCCACGCTGAACAAATCCTCCAGACACTGAACTCCTACCGACAGAGCGGCACCTTCACGGATGTGGTGCTTCTCATTGATGGACAAGAATTCCCCTGTCACCGTGCCACTTTGTCAGCCAACAGCACCTATTTCCGAGCCATGTTTGGTGGTGATCTCAAGGAAGGCCACCAGGATATCATTAATATCCAGAAGATATCTGCTTCTACTATGTCTCTCCTTCTTGATTATATGTATGGGGGGAACATCATCATTCAGGAGGACAATGTTGAAGGCATCTTGGAACTGTCTGACTTGCTGCAGATCTCCAAGCTCAGAGATGCTTGTGTCACCTTCCTTGAAGGCCAGCTTCACCCATGCAATTGTTTGGGCATCATGAAATTTGCTGATTCATTTTCCATTGCATCTCTGACAGAAAAGAGCAAGAGGTTCATGCTGGAGTGTTTTGTGGAAGTGTCATGTCATGAAGAGTTCCTGGAGATGGGTGTGAAAGAGCTGATTGAGTATCTGTCTGATGAGCAACTGGTGGTCCCCAAGGAGGAAGTGGTCTTTGAAGCAGTCATGCGCTGGGTACGGCATGACGTACCTGCCAGGAAGGGAGCCTTGAAGGATCTTCTTGAGCATGTCCGTCTGCCCCTGCTTGACCCCACCTACTTCCTGGAGAAGGTGGAAATGGATGGACTCATCCAGGACTCAAAGGAGTGCATTCCTCTACTGCATGAGGCCCGCAAGTATTACATCCTTGGGAACGAGGTCAGCTCTTTGCGATCAAGGCCTAGAAGGTAAAACACAGCATCTTCTTCCCTAGACCAGCATGGCCTAAGTTGCTGGTTCTTGAAGTCTGAGGGGATTTCTTGGGTTGGTTGCTCTTTCCTTTTTTTCCCTCCAACTGCTTCTCTTTTGGTCTCCCTGTTTCCAAAACGAAGGCATTGGTGATGTTTGCCTGGCATAAAGGATTCCTGTGAAATTTATAAAACTGCATGTGACACTTTTTTTTTTTTTATTGTTGGAAAGAAGTGCTCTAGTCATGCTGCTCTGGGTGTGCAATGATGTTGTCCAGGTATGTGTTCATACTGTGGACAGAAAGGGGTGTTTTTAGCTCTTTATTTCTCTCTGCTTTCACTAATGGGTAGAGCAATGAGTTGAGACCTGTTTTCCATTCCCAGCTCTGCCACTGGTCTGCTCTTGTTTCACCTCTTTTGGTTTCTCTCCCACCTTCTTCAGGCTGTTAACAACAATCTCAGTCCTCCTGGCCACCAGCATGGTGCCTAGATCAGACACTGTTGCAGGGTCAGGAATTAATGTCCAGGGGAAAAACAAAAACCAGTTACTGTCTAGGTGACTACTTAGGCATCTCCAAATTTCTTTCTTTTTTTTTTTTTTTTTTTTTTTTTTTCTTTTTTCTTTCCATTGATTTATAAATGAACAGTGAGAAGAAAAAGAGGTACTGGTCCAGGCAGCTGCCAGTGTAAAGTTGAGGAGGCAAAGAAAAAAGTGATTTCTAGGGTTGGACGTGTATAGAAATCTGCATCTTTTTGTGACTGTGATGTTTGGATTTAACCAACCATGTTTTAAATCTCTGCTGTTCCTTTATGGTGCCACAGGTCCCTTAGGGTGTGCTTGGTAAGAGCACTGATGGACAACTCTACTCTGGGGTGGGTTGCCACATCAAACTGAGTTGATTTGCAAGACTCCCCATCCTTTTCCAGAGGACAACCATGATTATGGGGCTGCAGGTCCAGGCTCTTGTGTTCTCCTGCTCTTCAGCCCAAGGAGTGGAGCAACCTCAGCAGGATGGATGTTGCTCCAGTGCATCTTGGAAATTCCAGCCTGGCCTTTAGGGCATGTTTCTGTCAGGTGCAAAAGATGATTTGACACATCTTCTCTCTGCTGAATACCGCAACAGACTGTTATATACAGAACTACTCAACAACAGGGTCCGTGGTGACCTTCTCAAGGATGCAAACAGCTAAAATTCACTGGGGAGAAATCCCACCCCCCTAGCATCCACATTTTACCTCCCTCCTTTTACAGCTTTGGTCTTAAGTGAATTGTCGCAGCCTGCACAAACCATGGCAGAGCTGGGGATTGGACCAAGTCTTTCAAATCCCCTTTCACCCTCCTCCTTCCTCTCTCCTCCCCTCCTGCAGAGCCGTTCGTCTCTTGCCACCTACTAGTTGGCAGGATTTTCCTTCTCCTGCCGTCTGTCTCGTCTGCTCGCTGCTATTAGGGCTGGAGAGAGAGATTTCCTGAAAACACTTCTCTCTCCAGGCAGAGAGCTTGCCACAGGCAAGCTGCCAGGAACAGCTTTCCACGCTCGTGGCTGTGCCTTGAGGATTATTGGCTTTGATTGTGCTGGAAGGGGGAGAGTGAGTGGCAGGAGGCAATCTCATGAGGGACTTTTAAAGGTCATTCCCATTTTCTTTCCCTATGCAGTTGAGACCTCTTCCCACCCAAACTGGGAGGTGTCTTCGAACTGATCATGCAGACAAAAGGGAAGGTGCAAGGGTGAAATGATTTGCCTTGAAAATCAGTAGCTGATGCAGGAGAATACTTTGCCCTATCTGTGGGACTGTGCTGATGATGTCCTAGATAAGATGGCAGGGATGGTGGAAAGTAGTATCCTGGCCTGGAGACTTATGCATGCATTTCATGGTCTAGGTTCATGGAGCTGGCAGAAGTCATCATTGTCATTGGGGGCTGTGATAAGAAGGGTCTTCTGAAGCTGCCCTTCACAGACCTCTACCATCCAAAGAGCAGGCAGTGGACAGCCCTCTCCAGCGTGCCTGGCTACACCAAGTCAGAGTTTGCTGCCTGCACACTGAAGAATGATGTGTACATATCAGGTGAGAGACTGGATGATACCCTTCCTGGTTACAAAGAACAGCATGACCTCTGCTTGGACAGCCACTCTTTGAGTATATTCACAAGGACTTGTGCACCCCAGCTTTGGATCAAAGTCACTCCTTGGTGAAGTTTATCCTTAGGTGGTTTGGATTTTGCTGTTCCAAGGAACAATTTCACCTTCAAGGGTGAGAATCATAGGATTAAAAGATCTTTCCCTCCTGTTGGGCATCTGTCAAGTGTTCAGCTGTGGAATCAGCTGGTTTTGGTGTGTGTTGTCAGACAGGGTTTCATAAAACATCAGAGTCTCCTGCTTGTTCCTCACTGAAATCGTAACACCTGTCAGATGAGTTCTGTATAAGGGATGAGACAGTGTAATAAGTGTCTTAAAGTCCAGATGATATCTCCCTTGGGAAGCTGAGTTTACATGACCATAACCCAATAACGGTATTCTGGCCTAAGTTGTTCCATTGCATGGAGGAACTATGCAATACTGTGGTGTAGTGAGGTGGTGGGGCTGTCCTTGGGATCGCACCAGGCTTCCATCCCTCTATTTTTCAGGAGGACACATCAGCAGCAACGATGTTTGGGTGCTGAGCTCCCAGCTTAACGTCTGGATCAAAGTTGCTTGTCTGCAGAAGGGCAGATGGAGGCACAAAATGGCAACACTTCAGGGCAAGGTAGGCAATGACCTGAATTTTGGAAGAAGCCACATGGAGCTCTGTATCCTACTTTTCCCCACTACAACGAGAAGCTGTCAGTCAGTGTGTGCTTGTCTTCTGAGTCATTTAGAGATGGTTTTGATGGGAGAACAACTAGGACCTAACCAAGACCTCACTGGTTTCGATTGGGTGTGTGCTATCACCCGAGCAGTCACAAATTAAGTTGTAGCAATAAGATCTACCATGGTGTCCTGGTTTTTGCTGGGATAGAGTTAATTTTCTTCCCAGTAGCTGGTAGAGCACTGTGTTTCGGATTTAGGATGAGAATAATCTTGGTAATACACTGATGTTTTAGTGGTTGCTACGCAGTGATCAAGGACTCTTCAGCTTCTCGTGCTGCCTTGCTGGCAAGCAGGCTGGGGGACACCTGGTGGCCGCTGCTTGGGAACTGGCTGGGTATTGGTTGGCAGGTTGTGAGCAATTGCATTGTGCATCACTTGTGTTGTATATTATAATTCTTTTATTATTATTTTCCATTCCCTTTCTGTGCTATTATAAAAGCTTTATCTCAATCCATGTATTTGGCTACTTTTTTTTTTTTTTTCTTTTTTTTTCCAATTTTCCCTCCCATCCCACTGGAGGTTGGAGTGGGAGAATGGCTTTGTGGTGTTTATCTGCCTGTTGTGTTAAACCATGACACAAGGGATGGTGCAAGACTTCTGCAGATAGCTGTGCTAAGTCTTTGGGTGAGAGCTGTACAGCGTGGGGTGTTTCATAGAATCATAGAATGGTTTGGGTTGGAAGACACTTTTAAAGGTCATCTAGTCCAATCTCAGGGTTTTACTTGGCTTGGTGTCTGTCCTTCTGGCCAAGTCCCAGCGTCCCCTCATGCACACTGTGACAGCGCAGCCTGTTAGGTGAGTTTGGGAGTTTCTAATTGCCTTGTTTGCTCTTTTTGCGACAGATCTATGCTGTGGGAGGCTTTGATGGTTTTTACCGCCTCTCCAGTGTGGAGTGCTATGACACCTTCTCCAACAGCTGGTCAACCTTGGCCCCGCTGCCTCAAGCCGTGAGCTCAGCAGCTGTGGTCTCCTGCCTGAACAAGCTCTACGTTCTGGGAGGGGCTGTGGATGACACCGCTAACACTGACAAGGTATTGCTGGGGCATCAAGAATGGCCAGATACCTAAAAAAGAAGGTTTTCCAGGGGATGTGGAGGAAAGTGAGGTTGTCTGTAAGCTCCAAGGGTGCCTTTGTTTTGAAGGCTAATGAAGGCTCCCTTATAATAAGATGAGAAGTCATACAGTGAGACCTAGAGACCAGAGGGGGAAAAGGTGTCAGGAATTTATAGTATATTAGGCATGGTTTCAGTAGAGCCTGTTCTGCTCTGAAGTCTCCTCTGCCCGGAGGCACCACAGGAGAAAACCTCCGACACTGTGGGCATTCACTTCAGGTAAGTAGCGACAGTAGTACCTGCGTGGAGGAGACCTCTGCAAGCCAGAAATGATGCTTCTGGTCTCCTGAGCTGCAGGAAGAGCCATCAGTGCTTCTCAGCTCCATCTCTGAACACTTAATCATGTGCTGTCTGGGTCAAGGACAACCACCCTGGGGGCTTGTAATTTGTCTGAGAGACTTGAATGCAAGAGGTACTGCTAGAACCCTTCACCCCTTTGCTCACTGTGCAGGTCTCTGGGTGTTAAAGCTCCCATCTGTGTTTCTGTCCCCATGTGCTTTTATTTCTAGGGAATTGCTGCTTTGTCCAAGCAGGGAGATGTGGTAAATTCATGTTCCTATGGCTGCGTTTCTCCTCCCAGGTCCAGTGTTATGATCCAGAGGACAACAAGTGGACACTCTTGTCTCCCACCCCTTTTTACCAGAGGTGCATCAGTGCTGTCTGCTTGGACAACATCATTTATGTTGTAGGTGGACTCCTCAGTAAAATCTTCAGCTATGATCCAAGGAAAGACAACTGGCGAGAAGTGGCCACCCTCCCTGGGCCTCTGGTAAGGAAGAGGTTTTTAAGAAAGAAGTTCTGAGCCTTGCCTCTCTCTCTAGAATAGCAGCCATCTGTGCTTTTCTGAGATTGGAGGCAAGGAAAATACATTGTGGGGTTGGTTCTGAGCATGTGAATGTGACATCTGTTGAGCAACACAAACCTATATGTACTTGCCACCAGTGTCCATACTGCTTGGAGGATGTCTCTCCCACAGTAAACCCAAGTTTTCTTGCTGAGGCTGGGTCTACTCCAGCTATTAATGCCAGAGGAGCAGATCTGCAGGGTGAAACTGCTGGTGTTGAGGACATGCTCTCCACACTGTGTGTCAGAGTGAGGGTTATGCTGGCTCTGGTCTGGTTTGTGGGCTGAACATGGATTGGTGGCGGTTGTGTATCTTGATTTAGTGTCCTCATGGTTTTGCACTCCAAAGCCATGCTGCAATGTGAGCCATGGCACAGTGAAGAGGAATGATGGGACACATCTTGTCCCGATTTGAATCAAAATGCACATGTCAGTGCTTTTCCTCCTGTCTGCTGGGCAGGTGAGAGTTGAGCCCATGGCAACGACTCAACCTTCTGCTCATCCCCTTTGCCTAAAGCTGGAGGCTTGCTCCTCAGCTCTTGGCCTTTCCTTCTGCTTTCCAGGAGAGCTGTGGCCTGACAGTGTGCGGAGGGAAGATTTACATCCTGGGTGGCCGAGATGAGAACGGGGAAGGCACGGACAAAGCGTTCACATTCGACCCGGTAATGGGGAGTGTGGAGCAGCAGCCGCCGCTGCAACGCTGTACCAGTTATCACGGCTGTGTGACCATCCTGCAGCGCATGAACAGATGACCACGGGGCTCCAACTGCATCCAAATCCCACCCAGAGCCTTCCCTTGAGACAGTGCCCACTCAGCACGTGGACAAACATCTCACCTTTTTGTGGGGAAGGGCAATACAAGCGCTGAAGATGATGTGCTCCAGCCTCTGTCTTCTTTTTCCTGGCCTGATGATACCAATGGCTTTGATGCTGGTCTAGGTGAGAGGAGGAAAGGGTGCTGGGCTGTGTGAAGCTGCATTGCAGACCTTGGCACAGTAGGATTCAAGTATCATTGCAGCCCCTGGAACTGAATTTGACCTGTACTTAGGTTTTTCTGGCTGTAGATTACAGTTTTCTGTCGTGTTGGCAACAGAGGTTCGTTGTCCTGCAGGGACATGCATTTGCCGCTTTCTGACAACCAAAACTGTTGCAGTAACAATTACAGATACAGGATCCAGTTCTTTAGCTAAAGCTATCAGATATTTGTGCATTTAGCTCTGCAGAACCCTGTGTCAAACCATGGTGGTGGCCTAAATGGTCATTAATGTCCACAGACAGTTAGTCCTATTACAGTGGAGAGCTGAGATTGAGATCAAAACTGATATTCTAAGAAAAATTCTCCACTAAATCCCCAAAATCCTGGTTAAACAGTCCAAGCTCTGATTCCATTCTGCATGTGCTGTACAAGGGTCTATTCCCCTAAAGCACAGAGTGCTATCTCCTTTTATACATGTTTTGTGGTTGGACTGCTGTCTCACCGTCTCTGTCATTGAGAGGACAAGTGAATCGTGTAGCCAAGAGTTCCTCTTTCAGAAAGCAGAGGTAGGGGGAATATTAATACGTAGGAGTTAAGCATGAAGACCTGAAGCATGGTAGCCAGAGTCACACTTGGTTCATTTTTGCTCTGTAGTATGCTAGCAAGTATTAAAATAAACTTAATATTTAACAGATTAGATACAGAGTCCCTGGGAGCCTGAATGTACAGCTAGTTTGGAGGGCAAGCGTTCAATTACACAGACTGCATTGCTCTAAACCAGTTGGTCTCAGGTTTAGAAATGATCTTTAGCACTTTTGATTTGGTAGAATAGCCATAACTTTTGGTGTCAGTGTCTTTAGTCCATGACTGGAATTGGTAATTTCTGATGGCTCCATACAAATGTTCATGTTGTTCAAGTAGGGACTTAGTTCTGCCAAATGTAGAGTGGGATCTCTTAAAAACTCCCATTACTTTTATGTTGCAGGGTGCGCCCTTCCACAGCAGGCTGCTGGCTGGCTGCTGTTTTCTCTGCACCTTCTTTTCCTCATCTCAGTGATGAATCCTTCCTGAAGTAGAGGAAACTATTAGGTCCACTGGCCCAGATATTCTCCTTTTCAGGGCCTTTTCATTGTCTTAAACCTCCTGGGTTTGACTGCTTCCCCCATACGGCTGTTTTTTACGTGGTTCTTTTTAGTACTTCTGTTTTCTGTAAACTCTGAGAAGTTCACCTCTCTTTTGTGATATCGTCAGGCTTACCTGTAAAACATGGCAAAATGTCATCCCTGTTGAAGAACCAAAATTGGCTGTAATCAAGGCATGCTGATCTCTTCTCTGTAGGAGATGTGTGCTCTTCCATTGCCCAAGCGACAAGCAAGGTGTTTCATTTCATGAAATGTACCTTATGCTCCTCATAGTCATGTCTCTAAAGTCCCAGGGCTATCACAGCCATTTTGTTCATCAAGGTGCACTATTTGGACATTCTCAGCCTCAAATTCTCCTTAAGGCATATGCATGTGGGTTAGCCCTTTTATCAGATCATGAGCAGCACAATGTGTCCTTTAAGCAATATAAAGGAGATTCAGTGCTGGTATGGGTTATTCCTGTGAGGAGAGGAAAGGAAATTCATGCTGGTAAACGACAATTTTATTTACAATCAAATTGCATCCACAATTGGGTTGTTAATGGGAATGGAGATTTCAGGAGAAAGTGACATCTTTCCTTCAGTGAGTCAAATTAGCACAAAAGAAAGCATGAGCACATCAACCCATGCTGTGATAGTCTTCAGGACCAGAAAGACCTTTATCCCCCTACAGCCTGATTTCCTGAGGACCACAAATCACAGTCCATCTCTCCTCCTTGATTTTGCCTCTCTTACTGTTCCCCTGTGCCTTAAGCAATTCATGGTTTTAGTGTGGGCACCCCTTCAAGGTGTGTGGCTTGGGACCCAGTATCTCCACCTCACCCCATGATTCATACGGGCAAGGAGGCTCTTAATTCTCCACAAACCGTCCTGTTAGCATGTCCCTCCTCTTGGTCTGCACTTTGGAAAACACTGCTGATATTCCAAGAGAAGGTGCACACCCAGAGCTTTCAGGGGCATGCATTGAGCAACATCTGCTCAGCTGAGGATGATGAGCATCATGGGGAATCAGGCCTTAAAAGGGATGGTCCTCATGCTAAATTGCTGCCTTGCCTAAGGTATATAGAATAGGGCTGTCAAAACAGATGTATCTTGCTTGGCTGCTGTCAGATCTTTGGGATCTTGTTCTTGGAAAGAGCATAGTAATATATTTGGACATAACAAGAGCCTTGATAGGAAAAAGGAAGAGTTTTCTAGTTGTGCTTACAACTTCTCTTTCCACAGTCTTTCCTGGTTTTCCTAATGCCTCCCGGGAGTCTCTTGCTGTACTTCACCCCTTATTCCTGTAGAAATAAGCACACTCAAAAGGGTAGAAGATATTCTCGTCAGCTTTCCAATCTGCTTTTGACATGTGTGGTGTGTTGGAATAGGCGTAGCATGGTGGTGGAAGTTGTGGCATAGGTACTAAAACGATTGCCTCGTTCTTGATCCTAATATTCATTGTACCACTGAAATGTGTTTGTATTTTGTAAGGGCTGTGAGCTGTGGGCATTCAAGGGAGGGTTAGGAAAGGAACTTAACTTGGTTTTATTTAGAAATAAATATTCACTTTGACTGCTAAGTGCTTTTGCTGCAGGAATTTTGTTTGTGCATATGGCTTCATGGCATTCCAAAAATATATCATTGATGGAACATCAGGGGAGCTTTGGGAGTACCATCCTTGAGGTGTCCCAGGCTTTGTCTGGGATACCTGAATTCTCAGTCTAAGCAAGTAGGAAGTTCAAGGTATTGCTTTTTGTCTGCAGGAAATGATATCTTTATTATATGGCATCACGGCCAAGTCAGTCTAGGGAAGGTGCTTGGATCATTCAAACTCAACTGATGGGGAATCTTTTACTTGCATTTTGACACGATGGAAAGAGTATTTCCAGAGAAAATGAAAAATTATTTGTCTTGTCTGATTCTTGCTCTTTCTTGGTGTGGCAGAAGAACACAAAGCATGAAACTGTCTGCCACTACAATCTGCTTCATTTTCTGAGAAGACTCTTCTCAGACCACGTGTTAAGCACCTCCTTGCTGTGTTTACAGTAATGCACAGACTTGCTGTGGGAGCTCTGTATAGCAAAAGATGTAGACAAAAAGTAGTGATCATCTGCAAAGCATGTGCGATAGTTTCAGCTTTATGTATTTAAGATTTAAAAAAAAAAATAAATTACTTTTTTTGCACTCCAAAACAGCGACTGTCAATCACTTCCAAGTAGTACTTAAATCATCCCTTTCCCCCCCCATCCTTTTGGTTTTCCTGCTGCCTGTCTCAGCAGTTATGTTATTTTGGGCATGTTTGTACTTTGGATGGGAGCCAGAGGGAATAAAAAGCTTTTTGTGAACAAGTCATATGGATGGTGTAGACAGCAAGTTATTCAGGGACTGATAACATTTGTCCATGACACATAGACTAGAAGAATTATAAATAACCTGGCAGACAAGGCTGCTGTGGAAAGCAAGCTCAACTGCTTGGTAACCTTTGCTACCTAGTAAAAAACTGCCTTTTTCATGAAGGCAAATGAAGTATGATGCAACTGGGCAAGAAACAAATGCCACCCAGAGCTAGAGAAGGGTCCTGTGGAGCAGCATCCAGAGAGGGATTTGGTGGCTAGAGTGGAGAAGCAGGTAAAGTAGTTTACAGTGTGACCCTGTCAGCAGAGACACGGTCCTGGGATGTGTGAGCAGAGGGATGACACAGTGGGCTGTGCTGGTTCACTGCTGTTATTGCAGAGGAGAAGGGACTGGGGGAGCAGATCCACATTAGTGGAGCATGTGAAAATCCTGAGGAGCAGAGTAAAGCCATCAAAATTATTCAGGAGTGGGATAAGGATAATAATGTGCTCAGTCTGTGATATTTAGCAGAAAGAAGGCACAGACACTTTTGATACTAAGTCCTGATGACCTAAGTGTCATGTAGGTATCTTCACAGACACCGCTGGGTCCTTCAGTTCCTCAAGCAAAACTAAATCATGGGAAGATAGAGACATGTAAATCTAAATGAGGGTTTATATACCTGAGCAGAGGTTCATAAGCTTCGGCTTTCACCTGTTAGAAAGTCTGGTGGGATCCTCAAAGATAGAAACTGGATCCTCCTCCCAAGTCACTAGGGGAAAGGAGCCCCTCTAAAGAGTGAGTCAAGCTCCTTGCCTTAGATGTCTCATGGAGTGAGATGAGTGGCCCACTGGCTTTCACTCTCAGTGGACTTGAGAGAGACCTTGATGACTACCTTGAAGTAGCTACCTAACTTTTAGTTGCAAGTCTCCTACCCTGCAAGTCCTTTACATCAAGACTAGATGCATTTTTGAAAGAGATGTTTTAATTCTATCCAAATTATCACACTTTGAGAATTGTGATGAATGAAGAAGTAATTATAACACTTGTCTCAAAAAAAGTTTGAGCCTGCTGTTGCATGGAGGGAAACCATCTGCCTCCAGCTCTGCTCCACTGTGGCATCATGGAGAGGTCACTAGTCTGTGCTTTGACAGGAGGTGAGAGCCATCAGTGCTTCACAGTGGGCACCTTGGGGAACTTTTTTTCAATACGTGATGCTCTCTACGTAAGGCAAGGCTGAGATTAGCTGCAATCAGGCAAAGCTTTCTCATGAGAGACTTACTTGAGGCTCTCTCATAGGAGATGACAACAGCTTCCCATTGTTTTGCCATGGACTGGCGTTGGGCTAAGCCCACCACTGACTTCCACAGACCCAGACAGAGACCACCTTTAAGATTGTCATAGACTTGCCATCTACCTGTGACACTACCATAGGTCATAGAAACTATTTCATCCTCCCACTCCTCATGCTGCCCTTTCACCTCTCTTAAACCCAAACCTTCCTTCTCTAGTTTCGTCTTGTCACATACAAGCTTGGCCTCCAGAGATATATCACTTGCCCCTGACATCCCCCTGGCCTGGGCTGTTTTGCTGACTCCTGTTCCTTCTTACCCGACCACTTCAGGCCTGAGGCATGTGCTGTCTCTAATGAACCTAGCTTATTTGCTTATATGGTAATTGTTATTATTTTTTTTTTTTTTTTTTAAGGCAGAAAGCTGAAAAAACACCTCCCCAGCATGAGTGTGGCAGGGCATTGCTAGGCTCCAGCCCCTGGAGATGCTGAAGCTGTCTTTGCATTTAGCTGTCCAGCTGGCAGGAGATGATAGCATCGTGGGGCAGGAGAGCAGTGCCCAGGGATGCAAGTCCCATCTGAAAGGATGAGGTAGTGTTGATTAACTCTGATTAAGGGCCACAATAGCCAGCTGGGAACTGGTGGGCAGAGATAATAGCAGTTTCAGTGGCTGTCTCTCTAGCTTTAAATATTTCTGTAAGAAGGAAGGCAAGGGGGTGAACTGTGTCAGATTTATTGCAAGGTTGTTGTGACCAGATTTATTTCCTCTTAAATGCAAATAATGGTAGGACCAGCAGGGTCATTCAGACTCAGTACCTGGCTTCAAATTCCCACTTCACGCAGAACAAGACATTTACCAGTTTGTAGTGATAAGAGTTGAATCCTGCTTTTAGGACTCATACACACACCACAACTCTTCCTGGATGCAAGCGCTGGGCTGTGTGTAGCA